TCGAAAGTTAAAAAGAAATATTTTTGTGGTGGTTAGAGCATGTATCGATAAAAGTTATAGGAAATTCCGCTGAAACAAATAGGAGTAAAGAAAAAGCGAGAAATGTGGAAAAACGGGAAAAATTATTCATGTTTGTGGGTATCTGTTGCATAGCTGCGAAAACAGTTCAAGGTACGAAAGATGAATTTCTCTTTTAATGATCTAAAGAATGTGCGCGACACTATTTGTCTATCTTTTAATATTAACTTGCAAGAACGACGGGACGCGAGGAGTCGCGAAACCTTGATGCTCACAATAACTATTCTACGCGGACGAAGTCACTGATACAGCTAGTTTAAAATAATTTCGATAGCTTATATTTCAAATAACGGGTTAATATTTTTTTAACTAAAGAGTTTTCCCGACCACGTGTACACATATATACAATAACATATAAATTAAACATTTCTCGTGGTGCTATGTTTTTAATCAAAAATAGAAATTATATGCGTCCGTTTAAACTTTTCACAAAACAATGGCATCCTTTGTTTGATAAAAAAAATAAAAAAAGCATCGAATTAATAATGTTGAAAATAGTGAATTGCGCTCGTTTTTAACACTACAATTTTTAAGCGTAACACTCATTCGAAAACGATAAAAACAATGTATACATAGAGTGGACTATTACCACCTCCGGGAATGCTCAATTGTGTACTCGAGTCACAAAGGGTTGCATAAATGACATTAGGAACGCGTGAATTGTAAATTGGACATTACTCGTTACACCTCCGTGGCGGGGGTCGGGCGCTGCATGCCTAACTAACCGTTCAATGGTCTTTGTTTTATGTTTACTAATACGCTATTCAATGACTACATGTGATAACGATATTATATTATCATATTCAGCCTACGAATTTGCGATTTTAAGACGTTAGGGTATTAATTCAAGCATTAAACAGCTTGACTAATTTGGATAAAATTGGTGTACTCTGTTGACACTCCATTCTGACACTCTTCCAAACTGGTAAAAGGTTCAGTTTGGTCACAACTTCTAAATTTAACATATAAATCTTTTTTTTAAATCTAAGATAGATTTTAATGCATTCAAAACAACACAGACGGTTTTATTTCATAAGATATTTTAGATTGATGAATATCAAAATCATATCATATCCTCCTTTCAATAAATCGTAATTTACTCCCAATAGGGGTCTAACAAGTACGCTTTTGTGCTAGAAATAAAATCACATATGAACGACTATCACAAATTGATAACATCTATTCATACTGCTATTCATTTATTTCTACACAAGTTATATGACTATGGACAAAAGAAAACTAGTTCATTTATCAAGATGTTTCTCAAATAGTTGGGTTGTTTTTTTGTCTTTTTTTACACCAGATGAAGGAAAATACAGTAAAGATATCGGCAGAATAGTTAATCAGCCATTAGCTAGCGAAGTAACTTTGCTGCCTAAAATTTAACCACTTAATATTTTATTGTAAAGAAGTTATTTGTACATACAGACGACAGCATCACACGCGTAGCAGTAGTCTGGTATGTACTTTTCAATTTACTGAAAATTATCTTGAAAGTAGCTTGAGACGTGGTTCAAGTTTTATTTCATCAGGTCAAATTGATCAAAGTACTCGACCTGACGAATAAACAGGGTAGGCAACACAAGGTTTTTTAAATTTTCAAATTATAACAATTATTCTTGTAATTAGAACGATAACTCAAACGGTCCCATCCGTATAATACATTTTTTAATATTAAATTGTTTTCGCAAAATATTTTATTAAACTTGCTAAATATTCCACCGATTGATGGGTACTTGATATTTCTTTCCTTAGTAGCAATTTTAAGTAATAGGTTCACATTAGTATTGATATACTTGAGCGACAGTAATTGCCCATCAGGGGTCTCGGAAAATATATTGAAACGTATACATGATTTATTTTATTTGAAATAGAAATGGGAGACGTGTTCATTACATTTCATTTCCGCATGCAGCGGGAACAGACTAAAAATATAGTTATCCCGCGCTGTCTCGCTGCGACTTACAATCATTGCCAATTTTCTTTTGATAACGCTAATAATGTTATTGTCTGTACGTCTTCACAATATTGTATAGCCAGGGACTGTTAACCATCCAAAATTCTCACAGAAAGTCTTATCTTAAAAGTCTTTTCTTATAAAAATGTCACAACAAAAGCGTTTGTTAAAAACCTGGAAGCAAGTGCTGAGGTAAATAAAAATATTTTTATTAGGCCCTTTAATTTTTTTTCCAACCTTGGAAGCTCTATAGTTTACGCGAGTACTACACATTTAAATAAAACACTTTAACGGTTTAATCGCGATATATTAGTTAAATGATGATGTCTCTGACGACTGGGAGAATATTCCCATATTAAAAACACTGGATCCCAATAAACAGCATACCGGCGAACGCGAAGACACCGTTAGTCAATTCTGTAAGGACCCGGCCAGTTTCGCCAAATACCAACTTCGACGGAACAGATGGCACTAGCGTTGCAATTTTTTACTTTGACGTCAGAGACATCCTCTTTAGTCTCCCCGTGACCTCGGCTGATGCAAAGCATCCGAAACGTCGGGCCGAAGTTAAAAATCATTTTCAAATAAGTTTAACTAATATATCGCGTTTTGTAAACCGTTAAAGTGGTTTATTTTAACGAACTAATTGTTTCGAAAGATATTGTTCCTTAATAATGTAAACTCTATGTAAAAAAAGTCTTTTAGATTCATACTCTGTGGTGCAGAATAAACTAACCAATATCATTTTCCTCTTCACTCTCATTAACAATTGACAACTTTGACAAGTGTTAAAGCTAGTGTCAAGTTAATGGCGCGAACTGAATACGGTTTCACAGCGTGACTAACTGGAACAATTGAATTATGCCGAGCTATTAAATTCGCTCGTCTCGGACAGGACATGTCTGTGTGTCGTGTTGGTTAGTTTCAATATGAATTCCAATTTAGGCGTTATTCAGTTTCTGTTGAGAAATTCTTTATGATAAAGATAAATCTTTGTTAACGGCAGTAAGGCAGTAGTTTTATATTAAACGTAATTTGCTTTTTACAAACATTGTTTTAGAACAATATGCGTCAAACGTTAAGTTACTAATTAAGTTACAAAAGGCGTATTATTGTGTGAACGATTTCTTTAATGACAAGACCGCTTGGCAGTAATATGGATTGCTCCTCAGGTTAATAAATTCACAATGTATTAGTTTATAAGACATGTTTGAAAAAGCCGGACTGAGTTTCTTGGGTGTTCTTCTCAGTTATGTTTCTCTTTTGAACACTCTGTAGAATCACGACAAACAAACAGACAAACAAAAAAAATATTTGACACTAAAGTATATTTTATTTTATTTTTGAATTCTTTACTCATACATCAGTGGAGAGTTAATATTTTAAATATTGCCTTTAATTTAGCTATTCGGTGAATACATACATTTCTTCATAGTTTCCAACTATAATATTTAAATAGTATTTTACCTTTTGCAGACTTTAATAATATAAATTATGAAATATAGGCATTTTACGTGACAAGAGAATATTTCAACAAATAAGCTGACAAGTACAAGGAGCACATTATGCCATTGAAAAATAAAATAAAAAATAAAAAAAAATTTCGACATAGACAGGACTTGAACCGGCATCGTCAGCGTTCCATGCTGTTGCTCTACCAATGTCTTTTGGGTAACACGAATAAGGGTTTCGTTCTGCTTAATAACAAAATACAGCCTTTTCTGTCTCGTCTTAGTTGAAAATAGCCTTACCAACTTTGGCGCTATATTTTACGGGGAGTATTTATCAAAAAAGTAGCTATTTCGAGCTTTAGAAATAGTGGTTCTATCATCTAGACTATTTACAGACTTGTGACGTGTAAAAAAGGAGCTAGACAATAAATCACCATTCCCTTTCGCTGGATATCGAAAATATCTGTACATTTCTCGTTATTTCCACCGATGCGGCTCGTGTTGATGCCCTTTGTGCATTACGGGCGGATGCTTCGGGCGGCGACGCGGGGTCGCCAGCTCTTTGTTTTTATCACCTTAAAAATAATATTTCAGGACATTGATTCACGGACATCATTTTCGTTTAAATAAAACACTTTTATTGGTTTTAAACGCCAAATATATTAATAACTAGGGCTTTAAACCATCGGAAACGTCGTGCCGTAGTTAAAATAATTTTCAAATAAGCTTAATCATAATAATAATAACATATCGCGTTTTAAACTGTTAAAGTGTTGTATTAAGACTTCACATTTGTTAAAATCTATGAATACGGAGATCTAAAGTTATCTGCAGTATTAGTTTCATAATGATGCTACAATCTCAACATCGCATTACTTGAAATTCAGCGCTAGTTAAGATGGCGACACGAATACAAAACAGTTATAATAGGAATAAATGTAATACTCGCGAGATACCCCACTATTTGGCAACTTTATGCATTTCTGATGAGTCGATATTAGTTTTCAGTTCGCTTTGAGGCGTTGCTTTGTAGTATCATTATAATATCTCTCATGTACTATTACGCGATACGGAGATGTAAATTCAAAGCCCCCTTCATCTGAATACTTATGACGAATTAATTCTGAATATCGCTAGTGATACCCGTCTCATACCTTGTCTTCTATTTGACAGTTCTTGTCTATGAAATTGTGTACTTTTTCGTAAGCTTTTGAAGATAAGATTCACCATAGAGTATGTTTATGACAATTGTAGGTAAGTAATAAATATGATAATATGGGACCTACGCTTGGTTAGTGGTATGTTTTCGTTTACCGTTCGTAAGGTCATTAAATCGAAGCCATTTAATTTTAATACTCCCAGGGGCTCTTTGGGGTCCCAGTCCCCGCTGTGGGAATAAAATAATATAAATCAATAAAATCGTGTTTTTCGTACTCTTTCGTAAAGCAAATTTACTTTTAAGTACATAAAAAGCTCAGTGTATTCCCGGATGACAGTCAATTTTCTGATAAAACATGTCACCCCTGTCTGACTCCGCCGTATGTTACCCGGGTTGCCATGGCAACGCGGTAAGAAAAACACTCAAAATACCGCCATTTTCCGTAGCAATCGAAAATTGCAAATTAAATTATTCTTTCCCATATAAACTCTACCTCGTGCGCTCGGCCGACTTAAATTAATTTGTTGGATAAATCCATCCCGATAAAAGTAATCCAATTAATCAATTATTTCATATTACGTAATACGCCGTGTTGATACAGTCAGATAATAATATATATCTTTTAATATCAATGTATTTTCATAAGTACGCGAAAGAAAATATCGTATGTTATCGACTCCATAGGACAGTTTAAAAGATGTTTGATGTTGACACATTTGATGATGATTGCTTGATTGCTTGCTTTAATTAAATTTTTGTTTTTCAGGGTTTTAACCCAGGTCCTCTAACTTACTTGTATAATACTAAATGTATACATGCTTACTTATTACGCAGAGCTCCTTGTTGGAGATTTTCTCCCGTTTTACGCTACGATTTGCAAAATGTATAAAGACATCTTTACACTATTTATTTAATAAAGAAAATTTGTGTCCATTTGTATATGTTTTTGTAATGCGTTGTAGAAAGGGTGTCTTTGTGAGCAATTTGCAGAAATGAGGAATTGAGTTTCCCCTTGCTCCTGGACACGGGCCGGTGACCCTTTGTCCCGTCATCAAGCTGCAAATTGGCAGTTTAGCTGCTAACTGTACCTCTACGCTGCGGGCGATCGTTATTCGTTACCTTCATACGGGAAACAACAATTTTATCCCTGAAAGAGAAAGTGATCTTCTTTTTTTCATTATATTGTATAGGTACTAAATGTATTTTAAAAGTCTGGCACTCTTTTGTGCAAAACTAGCAATTCTTAGACAAAAATATCAATGTATTTATGACGTATATAATATTATTTCAATTTGTTTTACATTTGCTTTTATAAGAAGGGTTGCCTGGAAGAGATCGCTTAGCGAAAGGGCCGCCCGTTACACTCCATAGTTTATAGATTTTTTTGGTTCATTTAAGTTGTATTGGTGTGTGTTGGGTCAAAAAGAATAAATAAATAATGGCTTTTTATTGAAATATGATTTGTTAAGTTAGGTTAAATGAATTTTAATAACTGAGTAAAGACTATAATTTGTAAGGCTTTACGGCCATCGATCAGCATTTTTTTTTTTTTGGGGGGTTTTGGGGGGGTGGGGGGGGGGGGGGTTTTTCGGGCTTTTTCCCCTGGGGGGGGGGGGTTTTTTGGGGGGGTTTTTTTTTTTTTTTTGGGGGGATTTTTTTTTTTTTAGGGACCCCCCCCCCCCCCGGGGGGGGGGGGGGGGGGGGGGAGATGTGTGGGGTGGGTTAATTTGAAATAGCAAGAAAACAGTTAAAATAAATATAATGTAAAACATATATATTCTAGAATCCAAAAAATACATCCTTACCTAAAAATACCTTAATAGATACATAAGGGAAATGCTATCTAATATCAATTATAATAAACGCAATAACTGACGCAAGGATAAATGAATTGTATGAATTTGAAAGCGCGTTTAAATTTAGTTGACCATGTTGATTTTGAGCCGGTAATTAAATCAAGCGAGCGAAAGCTAATGAAATGCGACTAAGTACATATATCTGATCACGAAAGCAGGGTCGCTGCACATCCGTCCTTTCAGTGCGAGCCGTAATTAAATTCTGACACCATTTCCGCATCTATCAATCCACGAGCTATAGCTAGCTTAGGAGTAGAGTGTGTTTTTTTCATCCTTCATAATTTTGGCTGCTTGCCTCTATAGCTAAATGTTTAAGCGTATTGCATAAGTGTTAAGATGTTATTACTAGTTCGTTAAGCGAGAGTGGTCTCAATGGTGGATCGGGGGAGGGGGGTGTCATGCCTATAAATAAAAAGGGGACACAGAAATGTGTTCGCCCCCATGCATAGCTATTTTTAACTAATGCCACCACATTACATTTTAACTGTATTTATAATCCTAAGGTCACGGTGTTATTTTTTAATATTAATTTTTCCCTAATATACCAGGACGTGGAAGATACAAAACTGTGAAAACTTCGGTTAACACAGAGAAGCTTCAGAAACATAGTATGTTCGTTTTGAGATTTATGTAATACGCAAAGAAATGTGGGTACATAAAATACCAATGCATAATATTTCTAAGAACAGTAACGTCATTCGTCATTAATGTCCTATTTATGGGCACAAGACAAGCAAATCTTTGTTAAATACCTTCTGTAATTTACGCGAGTAGTATATTTAAATAAAAACGTTAACGGCTTAAAACGCGAAATATATTAACTAATATAAACTATATAAGATGTTTTAAACCATTGAAGCTTTGCTAGACAAGGTAGGCCTTTTCTCTTTATGAAATACGCATTTTTGCGTCCGTTTCATATATATTCTTCGTAACACTATTATTATAAACATCAACACTCTTAAAGCTCGATCTGGTATCGTAACAATAAATCAATTTTTATGAGATGAGCCTAAGCTAACAGATGTAATAGCGCAAACAATACAAGCAATGTACAGGATGATATCAAAGCAAACGCACGAGATTGAAGTGGACAGTGTCCCCGGATATCCCCCGGGAGATGTACTTTTATGAACTGAATATTATAACATTCTGAAGTTTATTGAAGAAGGGCAATGACTTTCATTTTGTATCTTTTAAAGAGATTTGAACACTTTAAGACGTTTATTTCTCAAAAGAGTCACAAGATCTTTTATATAATACCGAACGGCTAAAAAATAAAGAAGGAGTATAAATAAATTATTAATTAAATAATAAGAAAAATAAAACACCTTAACGGTTTAAAACGCGATATATGTTATTTAAAGTACATAAATTGTTTGAACATTACCCGACGTTTCGAACGCTTTGCAGTAGCCATGGATTGCATCCGACATTAATATAATTTCCAAAAGAAACACTTTTCAAATAACAGTTTTAGCAATATATATCGCGTTTTAAACCGTTAAAGTGTTTTATTTAAAATTATTCTACTCCCGTAAACTATAGACAGTAATAATCTTATTGAGCTAGAAATGATTCAAACTTTATACCTACCATGTAAGTTTGAAATGCAAAATCTATATAAATATAATTCTATTCCTAATATAAAACCTTAACTGCACTTTAATATAAATAATATTTATTTAAATCCGAAGCACAAACTAGCTAGGTTAAAAAAAACTTTATAGTAATTTAAAAATTGAGCTACCGAGTCCTCGACTCGGTGGAATTGGTGGAGCAACAGCACGGAACGCTGACGATGCCGGTTCAAGTCCTGCCCGAGTCGAAAATTTTTTCAATTTATTTTCGTTTTTTAAATTATATAGTGCCTTCATGTTCAATAACATGTGAAAAATATTAATGTTTTCAAACTTTATAGTAATTAAAATAGTGCAAGCTTATATTTTTCACAGTGTTGGGATAGAAAAAAATGCGACGCGGGCGGATTCTTTGCTTTATTCAGGAACGATAGCTAAATAGATATTTTTTTCAATCCATAATCCTTATTTAATTTAAAGTAACTATGATTGTGTATGTTGATGTGTTTTCTAAGGCTACCATTACGGTGGTGGCACGGCAGCTAGGTAATCCTCACGTATTCGTGGTCCAGCCGAAATCCATAATCCAATTACGGGGACTCCAGACTGCTGACGCGGAACTACAGCCAACGAACTGAAAGAGACACCACTAAACAAATAATCATGTCTATCCGTCCGACATTATAACAGAACATTAATTCAAAAAATATTGATTATCCAGCTATTTGTGAACTCTCGAAATTATCATATAATTTTCGTCAAAGTATCATATTATTTAAATATAAGTAAGAGTACTTTAATGGCATATAGATATAATCAAATCAACCCTTAATATATGTATTTGAAATTAATTACGTACGCTATGACTTACTTCGGGGGGGGGGGGGGGGGGGGGCGGTGGGGTCATAATGTGTTGAAGACGGTTTTTTAAATTAAAAATCCAGGATTATAAATTGAAAAAAATTACGACTCTAACAACTTGAGCTACCGAGTCGATTTTTTTAAACCCACCTCTTGTGCAATATTTTAATTTATATAGTGCCGTCATGCGCAACAACATGTAAAAATATTATATACGTTTCAAGTGTGTCTTTTGTTGATTGTTGTATGTTGTGAATATCTAAGTTTCACACAACAAAAGTATAAATTTCTTTATATATTATATGACAAAATCTTATGTACCATAATATGCCTGTACCTCACAACGCTGCACAATAACCTCAACGAACCCTGAAACTTATGCACTTTAGTCAGTTTTAAGTCTTGTGATCGTTTAGTGAACACTCGAATGTCCCTCCGCAGTCGGCACTGCCTCTCGAGTGCCGTCTAGTGGCAGGACGTGACGATCCCGGTCTTAATCCTCTCTTCAGCCTGTATGTGCTGATAACTTCGTTATGAATTTATTGTTTTTATGTTTTAAAAGAGCAGTAACGCAATACAGATGAAACTAAGAACGAATCGATAACTTTAATATATTTCACATGTTATTGCACATGATGACACTATATAAATTAAAATCGATTATAAATTGGGAAAAATTACGACTCGGGCAGGATTTGAAGCGGCATCCTCAGCGTTTCGTGGTGTTGCTCTAACCAACAGGACTCGGTAGCTCAATTGGAAGAAATTTGTCCATTTTATTTATATAAGAACCAGTTTTACAAAATTATTTTATATCAGCTCTAGTTTAATTATACGTCATGAAGATATAAGAATGAAGCACCCTAGACGGGTGTTAGTTAATGGTAACAATGTATATTGCTAATCCTCAACGGGCCGTGGGTTTGTTCCACCGATTTAATCCATCATCATGTTTCATAGGAATTTATAATTTTTCTAAAGCATGTTGGACTTCGTTTGGAAAGGTCATGAACCAGTGTCTACAGAGAAAAAGCCGTGAAGTTTAATCTGTGGATTTCCGAGTATCCAAAGCCAAAATATATTGACAGAGCATCTTGTTTAGGTATAGGCTGGGGCATATCAGCTACCATCAACTGAACCTCACGCTTGGCTGTCTTACTCTTTCCTAAAAATATGTATTTAGTTAAAAAAATGTTTTCTTTCCACTCAAATCGAACCCTTTCACTCACCAAAAATAGTCCACTCTATAAACACTTGTTTACCTTTCCATTTATCATTTGAGTCGCGTCCAATTTGGCTGCGTTTAATTGATTGACACGACTTTACGGAACGGCTTTGTAATTGGATGGCACTCGATCAGATGTCACGTGATAACGCGAAAAAAGGTTTTCCCGCCAACCGCGGCGTAAGGACATTTGAATTTTAATGGTAAACAAGTGCTCTCGTCTGGAAATATAATGAATGCGAAATAAACCTATTTTCGAAGAGCCTGCACAATACAAATGATACGGATGGGTGGACTTGATATTGAACGTATTTAAACGACGTTTGGGTTCAACCTATAACTTTCGTTTGAACGTTACAATGCAAATGACTATCGGTTTTTCTACAAGATTCTAGATTAAATTTAAAGGGCTAGAAATATACGAGTTTGGATACTTAAAACAATCGGGATCTAATTGTAAATTCCTTATATTTAAAATTCCTCGAAAATTTTATACTTTTCACGTGTTTTAAATATAAAACATGTTGACACTATATAAAATAAAAATCGATTATAAAATGAAAAGAAATATACGTAGCGGATATGTACCGGCGTATACAGTGTAAGTTGAATTTTTTCAACCTATTGATACATGCACCTCCCGCGCAATGTGATTTCAACACTGTGGATGCCGGTTCAAGTCCTGCCCGTGTCGTAATTTTCTTAAATTTATAATCGATTTTTAATGTATGTATCTATTTTTTAAAATAAGTTTATGATGATAGTTACATATACCTAAATGGCAATTTGTTTAAATTTTTACAACTATAAATACAAATCCTTCGCACGCATTTGCAATACAATAAAATCATAATTACTTGGACTTACAGAACAATGAAGTCTATCAATAAAAGTACAAAAACGATCCGTTTCGAGAGACAAATCGATTATCAGAGCGGTCATTCGCCGTATTATACCGAATTTCAACGCGAATGGAAATTAAAAAGTTCCAATGCACTTTTGCATTTTAAACGCTACACTGAAACGCTTTTAAGCCCGTTAAACGGGCAAAGGGGGACAGTACCTGCATCCTGGTAGCATTGTCACAACGTTTCCCTACTCGGGCCGGATTCTAATCATTAGTGTGCTCACTCGACGTGAAACCGATTTCATCCGTGAAGTTCTCTTTGAAACCGCCGCAATATCGTCGAAAGGAAAACTCCGTTAGAGAAAAAATATATTGCCCGAGTCGCGAAGAAAATGAGAACGGAATGTTGGGGCCAATCGAATACCAATAGTCGCCGAGTTACTCGAAATTCTTACAGACAAAAACGGGTTCTAATATAGGAATAAATGATAAATGATGTTACGAGTACCATCATATTCGCAATGGAAAATCTTTATTTTAAACAACTCTTATTACATGATGAATTAACTTAAAAACATGTTAATCATTCGATATATTTTATGTGATGTCATATTGTATATAAATCAAACAAATAATCTCGTATTATGTACAATTAAAATAGATAATTAAAATCCTTAGCTTGCACGCGTAATTTTTTCCATAAGCAAATAAACAGTAAGTGTTGCTTCGTTATTTATCTAAACCTGTTTAGTATTTATCATGAGAACAAGTAATTATATTAAAAGCAATTCATTATTGTAAAATAATTAAAATAGAAACGAGTTTATATTGTATAGTATAGTATTGAAGAAGGCTGACTTGGCCTTTTTAAATCTCTGTACGAAGAGAAAATGCGCTTGGAAAGGGTTAAAGCCCGCGGTCGCTAGAACAACTTCGTTACAGCGCTGTTTTGTTTCTGCCAATATTAGTTTTAGTCAAAAAGCTATTTTTCAACGAGCGCGGCGCTCGGCAAGGCTTGCGAACTTTTCTAATTTAGCAAATTTTCTCTCTGTTTCGCGATGAGTCGCTTCGGGGTTCGATTGAAGATCTAAGTTAAGACAGTGAGAGTGAGATTTACAATTGTTCTTGTTAAAACTAATTGATTGCTTCGGTTTCTACTTAAAAATTTGAGCAATCTCAGTTTTCATTGCGTTCGTTCGCGGATATTTAGTTATGGCAGAATCACAGCATCAATAATATGATATTATGTACATACGTTACAAATTACGTACAACAAATAGGTCCTACAAAATATCAGAACATACACTTACTTAATTACTATAGTATATAGTATATACAAATTATTTCCTATACTGGTTATACAATTAAGGTATATCTAAACATTTAACGTAACTATGAACAATACAAGTTGCGATAAAACGGACACAACAAATGTACCTAAAAGAGGAAGTAAATGATAAATAATAAAATAACTATTCATTGTCCACAGGTGTTGATGTTTCCTGAAGAGGGTTGGGCGCGGAGTGCTTCTTCATCATATTGGACGCTGCAGCCCTGCTGGTGGCGACGCTCTCGCTGCAAGGTCGTCGAAGTTGCTGGCACGAGAAGGTTTATACATAATTATAGAATAATAGCCAAATTAGGTAGGCAGTGTATCTTTTGAACCATCAAGTGGACGCAATGGTTGTCTGTCCTCCTGTATCATAAAAAATGGCAAGATGTAACGTACAAAGCTCAAGGAACCCGGTATCGTGTTTTGATTGGTCCTACCTCTATCTAGATAAAAAAAAATCCAAATCCTTCACAAACAGACTTAGCAATGTGTATGCCGAATGCGGTAGGTAGTCGAGTCGAGTCGGTGGTAATTTTGCTTCGTTTTCCGTGGGTTAAAAAGTGACCTCATTAGCGGTATGAAATAAATTATCAGTAGCAAAAAGTAAATTAGAATGTTTCGTTTAGCGAGAGGAAAGTGTTCATCATGCTCCTTAGACATTAGCGTGTCTTCTGTAATTAACCGCGCTGTGTTTTATATTCCCAACGTAATAACGTAATAATTTAGTATCGCTTTAACGGCGTAAGAAAGATCTAGGAGTTCCTCTTAAAATTATTCTGTTATATCTTTATCTTTAAATCTTTACTAAAACTTACGTTGTCCTTGTTGAGAAGAACAACAGATAATCTATATTTACGGTATATTAAAGATGGTTTTTATCTTGCTATATAGCCATATAAACACAATTAACATGTTTATAAGTTATACAGATTTTCACATTACACATGTAGAATGCTTTATTATTTTACAAACAAGATGGTACATCGTTGTGTATTACAAAGAACATATACGATGGTGATAGTAATTCAATAAGATATGTCAAAATCGATTTCGAATCACCATCGCTTTGTTTACAATATCATTGTTAGTCACGGGAAAAGTTTAATTTTCTAATTTGCTTTCCATATGAGATAAGATACACGCGTATGACATGCTGGCTAAGAAGTGTTCTAGTAAAACGAATTTAATACTTGAAAAGATTTGTCAGTTCGTCCTTACTTCCAAGGTTTCATGTTAATAATTCGAATATCATCAGGCTATGAGAAGTGGTGCGAACGTGTCCCTAATAAAAATGCCGTTCCCGCCAAAAGGCTTAACGCGAATGTGATGTAATTTGTTTTATAAGTCTGTAATCCTGTATTAAAACAGAATAGAGCTTTTTTGTGTATTTGTACTGCGACCTTTCTATTTATACACTCTACACACACATTTCTACACTCTCGAGTTTAAAATACAAATTAATGACGTCATTGAAAAAATAAAATAATCAAGCAACAATTAAGTAAACTATGTAGTAAAAACCAAATAAATTTTGTACTGCGCAAGCCTGCGAAAATGAAGAAATGAAACAGTGGTATTGGTAATTAGTGTTTATTAAATTAATTAGTGTTTTCAATTAACGGACTTAGCCAAATATAAATTATAACATCGTGAATAACATTCGAAACAGCACACCGAAGTCGAGCCAAAATAGCGCCATTAATTTTCGGCATTTATTAGAATAATTCGCGCCAACTATTCGTATTATCGCCATTAATACGGCGATTCGGTTGTCACGTAACATTTAAGAGGTGATTTCAATTTCCCTTACCCGTAATAGTATCGTTAGGGGAAAAGATTTCGTAACGATAGCGGGATTAAAGTGCCACTGTTAGCGCTAACGATTATTGCTGCCCGCTCCACTGTTTTGCCTAAGCGACTCGTATTTCATGATAACACGCCTGAAGAGATCTCTTTATGCGCTCAACTATTCGATGGCTGTTTAATAACCATTAATTTATGTGGCATTTGTAATGTCAGCAAGAACTGCAACTTATTCTAGCCGATATTAAAAAGACCAGTAGCATGATGGGGCAACGATAAACAGGCAATTGCTGGTTCACAATGGGCGAAAACTGCCCAAAGATGGATGGATGGAAGGATGGGCTACGAGAGGGTTTCTAATGACCTAATATTTTTATAATCTTTAAATACTATACATATTCTATATATACCTAATACCAGCACGTTAAAAATTAGATTCAACAAAAATCATACAGTACACAGTAGTGATTTTAAGGAAATAAAGTTTTTTTGAAAATAAATTGACCTTAAAAGGATAGTCTTAATAAAATATGACCTATGTCACAAAAATCGTTTTATTATAATTATTTCACCTTCACGATGGTATCTTTTGTATAATGTTAAATACAATATCAAAATATGGTCTTTCACATTGCATACTTTAATTATGCCTTCTTAAATGGCTGTTACTCAAAAGTTAAAATAATAATAAGGAAACTAAAATTTTAGATTTTTACAAAAAGTCACATTGCCTTGAATTTTAAAATTACAATTCCAAAGGTAACAGTGCTTTAATAAGAACTTTTTATTAAAACAAATAAAGGTGCGCGGTTGTGTGTCCTTAGACGAAGTTTACAACAATGTATGTATAATACTCATAAGGTTTTCTCTGGAGCAATTTCAGTTTAAGCTCATTCTCTGCAAGTTCTTAGTACTTGGGATATAGTAGAGGAAAATGGTGGAGCTTTGCGAACTTACATTCTTGCGTTTTATTAGATTAACATAGTTTCTAGTTATTGTGCGATTTGTAAGAACTTCGGTTTACATAAAGTTCTTGAAGAACATAATCCTTAATTAAATTTCCGACTTGAGAATTTCTTACGCTTATTTTATTCTTACTTCGGTTGATCATCGTTTAAGATTCTATTGAGTTCCAAAACTTTTAACTGACTTGAAACAAGCTGCAAATTCTAAAGAGTTCTTTATTATTATTTATCAGTTGATTTTCTTGATCTATAATAAAATAACGAAATAAACGTATTCTCTTGTAGCAAGAGCTAAAGCTTGCACTCTTTAATACTTTTGTATGTTACGTTTTGAATTTTTGTACCCCTTCACTTTTACGATACATCTTGTCCTTTACCGTTGCCATACTAGATTGTCTGAACCATTCACCTCCTAATTTAGCGTACCCATTCCACTCAAAACAAACGTTATGAGTCGACAATTACGCGTGCACAGCAAAGGTTTTAATTTGTAGAGTGTTGAGATGTTTGGAGCTATTAGGTGGGGCTATTAGGGGTGTTGGGCAGATGCGATGTAACGTGGCTACGTGATTCTCATACAGACAAACGGATATATCATATCTTGTAATAACATTGTATAACGACTATTGTAATGTTATTACTATTTTTAAAAGGAAATTGATAAGTAATTTGAATGTTCTCTATCCTTAGTCTTCAGGCGTGTTCATTTAAGTAAAATTGTTTCAAGTAAATACCGTCTACAGTTTACGCGAGTAGTACACATTTAAATAAAACACTTTAACGGTTTAAAACGCGATATATTAGTTAACTGTTGTTTCAAGTAATTTAAAATAGTTTTTTTAGGGACACGTGTATCCACGCATGTTAAGAGTGGCAACGTTTAATGCCCTGTTGCAACATTATTTACATTATACGATAATCATGTTTTCTTTTTTAGAGAAATAATATAAGTTTCGCATAGTTAATTTCAAGTTCGTTGTTCGCTTGTGGCCCAATAAGCATGCCCCTTCCATTTTCCATATTAAAACAATAAAACACAACACAACTTTTATTTGAAAGAACTTAAACAGTTTCTTATTCTGTAAATGGCAACCACGACTTTTTCTGTTCAGGCACAGTACCCAAGCACGAATGGTTGTAAGTGGCGTGAATGCTGTATACATCGTTGGTAGCTTCAAGCATCTTGGAACAGATGCTGATTTTAAGGTGGGTAAGGTTTTTTTACGTAAAGTACGTTGTTTCTGCGTACGTCTACGTTGATATGCTTTCACTCATTGATAACTATAGACCTGTAATAGTCTATTGCTTAGTCTTTATGAGTACGTGAACATGTCGCTCAACGGGTTGACTGAATTTAAGAAAATAATTATTAAATATAGTATTTCATATTCTGTAATAGCACGTAGCACAAAATTATCAAAAAGTCACGCTTCCGCGAAATGGTTAAGAAATAAAATATGAGTACAGTTCTATATTATCAAAATGCACGTTCTAACAAACTTTTATCACGCCCTAGTATGCATATACTAATATATAAAGCTGAAGAGTTTGTTAGGGCAGAACTTGAACCGAGCAACAGCACGGAACGCTGACGATGCCGGTTCAAGTCCTGCCGAGTCGAATATTTTTTCAATTTTGTTTCGATTTTTAAATTATCAAGAGCTTAAGAGATATTCTAGAGCGTACTAGCTCTTTTCTATGGCATGTAGAGTCTTAGTACTAGGCGAGCACGACGTTAGAAGCTCGAGAGATCTCCTTTAGGAAGAGAATTCTTCCTCTTTCATATAATCCTGGTAAGAATGGCTGATATTTTCCGACCTTTGAAAACAATTTCTGGTACCGGGAGATAAGAAATATAGGAGCTTAAGAAAATTCTAGAGCTTCCTAGCTCTTTTTTTGATGCAGAGTCTGAGTATTAGGCGAGTACGGCGTTAAAGCTCGAGAGATCTCTTAGGAAGAGAATTCCTCCTCTTTCATATGATCCTGGTAAGGATGGCTGATATTTTCCGCGGTAGTCCCCACGGTGTTTAAAATTCTTTCTTTTTAATCTGAATGGAAATCGACATTCTAGTGAATAAACAGTTTTAAAGTAATACGGCTTAAGGTTCTCCACAAAAAGTTATCAAGATGTAATTAATATGATGATTGTACACGAAATAAGAGTTTCAATCGCACAGTATTAAAAATTACGTAATATATTCCTTTCGTAAAGGAAGGACAAGTACATGTAGAAGATAATAGAGTACATAAATATTGAAATCGAAGTAGGCTACACGATCTCAATCGAAGTTTTGAAATTGAAATTCAGATACCCACTTTTTGTCTGAGGAAAATATTTTTCTGCGATCGTATGACCTAGTTTATTGCTTTATAAGTTACTGGAACTCTCCTTGCTTTAAAAAAATAAATTAAACTTTATTTAGATTACTGGGGATGATAAGACTTGTGGCGCGATTAATAATTTTTAACGTAGCTTTGATTTACAGACGATAGACGTAAAAAACATCATTCTCATATGAATAATAAGAATACTCGTAATATATAATCGAATAATGCAATCCTTTACTCTTACGAAAGGAGATTGATCAGTGTCCATGAAGCGCAGGGGAAATTGGATAACAATAATCATTAATTGTTAAAGTATAGCGTATATAGTGGTATAGGCGTTATAAAAATGAACTTAACATATTGTATATTGCAAAACGTCCGTTAAAAATTTCTGGTACAAAGTATTTCTGGTGCAAACAAAACTAAAACAACTTTCTGTTCATTTGGTGACTTGGAAGTAAGTTTATGGCACTGACTGTAAACCTATTTCTAATGATTTTTAAACTTTTCAGCTTTATTTGACGACGAACGTGACCCAAGCCGACTTCAACATGGGTTACACGATGACGGGAACCCTGGAGAGAGGCAGCCGATCCACAAACACCTTTCAAGTGACCCATTTTGCTGTTCTTCGGCGATGTGACCACGAGTCGCACCATCTTAAGAGTGCATAACTAGTACGCATACCATAGTTTTATGCTTCCATAATCTACAAATGCTGCAATTAAAAAATATCGGTCTACAGTTAATTGATAACAAATAAAAAAAAAACCATTTCAGACCACCAACGGATTATAGACTTGATAAAATATATTTTACCAGCAAATTATATATTTGTAAACAGTAAACAAAAGGAGAAATATAATAATTTTATTGAAATACCGCAAAACTATTAATTCGTTTTTGATGTCCATTTTTGGCCTCTATCACCACTTAGCCCTTTATGTATTTTTTATAAAAAATGGAAAGCATTAATAGTTTCCTATTTTACGATGCATTGAGAATAAAACTACACTCTGTTTTAAATTGTATTTATGATTCCATACGTTGAGCTTACAATGCCATGAAACTATAGATATTTACAGTTAAAGTGTCTATATGTGATGTTAGGGATTAGATTAAGATATATTGCCAAGCAATTGTGATTTAATGTAAGCCTTTTTTCTTCTCTAGTCATTCCAGTAGGCGTGTCATTTCGATGTCGTAGCTCGTATTCAAAATAGTTATTTTTATATAGATTCTCTAGTGTTCTATCCTATCTCTTTTAAAGTAGAATCTCAATATTCCCGTAGTGCTAGAATAAGTCTTAATTCTTGAATGACGTAGCATTTACGTTGTGTCCATATTAGAATGAATAATGATTATACAGAGTCAAATGTACCTGTTTTTACGGATATTCGTAAGCTAGTAAGGTTTTGGTACAGTGACTGTTTAAGACGATATTTCGTAACACGTAATTGTTCTGTTACAATATATTATGGTTTCAATAAAAATGTAAGCTGAGCATTATTCGCCGATTTCTTAATATAATTTTCTGACTCTTAAGTTGCCAAACGTTTTATTCCACCTATTTATTAGTGTATCAAGTGCACACACAGTTTAAATAATACAAAACTTTAGTTCTCCATCAGGCTACCAACAGATAAACTACCTGTATAGCAAACATGATAGCTTTCATAACCTTTTTTTCGTGCTAAAGTATTTCTTGAATATAAGGTTAATTATTACGAGAAATACTCAATATTTGTACTATTAGATACAACATGGTCAGTTCTTGGTATATACTAGAAGCTACCAAATGGTGATACTAGATATCTTCGTTGGTTCCCGACGTTATATTCATTCGTGCGTGTATATATCGCTTGTCAATTATGAACGAAGCGTGACCTCGTTAGGTAACGCTTTACTATTATTTAGAAAAATAAACATACTTACTTACTTACGTTGGTTTACTTACCAATCTTCAAATTTGTTATTACACAAAAACATATCTACCGTCACTTGACTTTAATTAAGTTCTTTTTATTTTTTTTATATCTGTTTCTATACAATTTAATACAATAAAATTCAACGTAACTCTATGTATAATATGTGTTTTAAATTGTGACCGGCTACTGTAGAAAACCAGTATAATAAATTTAGAAGAAAAGGATGTTAAAGAAGAAAGAAGTATGCGACAGGTTATAATAAATCAACAGTGACGTTATGGTGCAGCAAAGTAGTTTGTCAAAAACTTTTGTTTGCCATCTGATGTTCATCCAAATGACATTGCGCCAAGCATATCTATTCACATAGGACATCTATAGTACAGTTGTCGGGAGTTCGAGTCCCGTCATCAATTTTTCAATCATTTCTATATACTTTCCAAATCGCCTTTTTTTAGAGCATAGCCTCTTGTCAGATTCGAAGAAATGTTAAAAGATCGGCTTATTTTTTTTAAATAGATAATGATAGCGTGGATAGGATAACACAAACGTCCAATATCGCACTCCCTCCAGTGTTTTTACACGTCATTTTGTACAAAGTTAGGGCTATTCTGCCTCTTAGCTTTCCTAGATGGCGCTAGCGTCTATGCAATTTGCATAATAAATAGTTTCGCCATTCGCTAGGTTTTTATGACGAGTTGACGTCTATGGAGTAAATTATAGTCAGCTTTTTATTAAGTGGAAAAATTTGGGCTTGCTATGCTTTGTAAATGCAAAAGTATGTGGTATATTTTTAAGACGGTATGAAGATATGAATATAAAATGTCTTTCTACGTATATTTTATACAGTCCTAATAAGTATTATGGTACATATTTAAATATATTTTTGTTACGCTCTTGGCTTTGTTCCTGCTTTTCAAAATTTATCTGTGAAATAATTTATATTTTGTAGATATGTGTTTTATATTTTAAGTGAGGATCGGTTGTGAATAATTAGATGTGAATTTTTGTGTCGATTTTGCAACGATTTCTAATTAGAAAGTAATGTTTGTTTTCCGGTAAGATATATCGCCAAATTTAAACATTCCTTTTTTTATATTTAACTGCTTTCTTATTTTAATACTTAATTTATAATAATCTTGTAAAAATTATGAAGAGTTTACTCGTTAACTCGTTAATTCAATTGGCATACTGTCTTTTAGAATTGCGAATAAAATAGCTGTAGGCCACTTATTCAATTGTGGCAATTATTGGTCTTGAATTGCTCTTTAATTGCTGTATGAAATAAGTAGTTTGCAAATACATTCAGAGACGTTATAATTTTGTAAAAGTTTTGAATGCTTTGTCAATGACACGACAGGGATCTTGTCCTCTCGAATAAAATAACGGACTTTTAATAGGTATAAACTTTCCAATTTTTAAGAGGTAACAAAACCACAAAAATACCGAAACGCAAGGTAATAATAGGTAACAGGCCAGTGTTGAGATGTTATATTGTTGGGATGTTTCTCCTTCCTAATACTTCTCTGTCTCCTGTATCATAAAAAAAAAAAATTAATCTTAAATAAATAAGAACTAACGTTTCTGCTAATCTTGCGTGTTACATATAATGTGTGTAAAACAAATGTAAAAATACTTACCAATGCACAATTAGCAACCAAACACACACATTACAGGACAAGATCCCCGTCTTTTTAAATATATCTACAATTCATGAGAATCTTTGCTTCAATAAAATCTCTATTCTAGTCATAATTAAGGAAACTCTTTTGACGTGCCAACTTAGGAGCTTGTAATTATAGATTGAGAATTGTACATACCTATGTAAAAATGCTTCGACACTTATCATTGTAAACGCGGAATATTAATAATAAACGATTGATTTCTTTTTGGCGTTTTATTGGTATATGAATATATAAAATTAACATATCTGTTAAGAGAAGAGAACCAGATCCATTGGGATGCTGTAGTTCGGATTATTTTCGACCTTATACAAACTATAACCTACTACAATAGTGTAACTTAAACCATGCATCAATGTCAACCTGTGGCTATCCACATTACATATTATATCAGATAACCAGCATAGAATAACTCAGTTATTAATATGTAACATTATAAACCAGCGAGATATTTCTTTGAATTAGTACGAGGTTTTTATCTAAGAGAAAATTTTTATATATCTAAATCATTCTTATAGAACTTGTTTTGTATAAAAAAATACACTTAAAACTCTTGTGATATAAACAATTACACTATTATAACATACAAATCCTACGTAAGCTGACTATTATGATGGCAGTATTTAATTAACATCGAAAAATAATTAAAGACAGTCTCTGTAGCACACCTTATCTGCGTTATTTTACCCATTATTAGCATTCAGTGGCCTTAAAGTACTCAGTTCTTAGTTAAACGTGCATCGACATGGACTTCTCAAGCAAAGTAATTTTAATAACAGGAGCTAGTGGCGGTATAGGTGCGTCATGTGCTCTAAGGTTCGCCAGTCTAGGTGCCGATTTGGCTCTGGTCGGCAGGAACAGTGAAAACTTAGAAAATATAGCTGGAAAATGCGAAGAAACAAAAGGTTTGAGGCCTCTTACAATAATAGCGGACGTCAGTATAGATGAAGACGTTGAGCGGATAGTTCAAGAAACGATAGACCGATATGGCAAGATCGATGTTCTAGTAAATAACGCAGGCTTCTTAATTATGTCCGGCTTGAGTGGTGATATTGAGAACTTCGATAAAATGATGGCGACCAACATACGCGGGACTTATCTACTGACGCAGAAGACAGTTCCATACTTACTAGAGACGAAGGGGAACATAGTAAATATATCTAGCATAGTATCAATCAAGCCGGTTCCAGCTATGTTAGGTTATTCAATGACCAAAGCAGCTATGGATATCTTTACAAAATGTATCGCTCTGGAGCTAGGACCTAAAGGAGTGAGGGCGAATATGGTCAATCCTGGACCGGTGGACACTAATCTGTTCACAGCGAACTCTCTCACTCCAGAACAAAATAATCAATATCTATCAAAAGTGTCGGAAGCCATTCCTTTGAGGAAAGTGTCAAAAGGTGAGGATGTAGCGAAGCTGGTATCGTTTCTGGCGAGCGACGATGCTAGCTGTATTACAGGGACCAACAATATTATCGATTGTGGACTTATATTGGGAGAAACATTCTTTTAATGCGTGTTTTTAAAATCCATATTAATATTGTTAAAAAGCATAAAATTGTTAGAAGTCAGTTTTTGTTGATTTACTTTTTTATTATCTTTGTATATGAAAAACTGCGCATCAACCTACTTACGGAGTTCTTTATTATTTTTAATAATATCATCGTGGAATTTTTTAATCGGGACAACATTGTTGATGAAAGCACAAAACATTATTATTAACGACGACAAAATAAATTAGTTTTGTTCTAATAAACAACATAATTCAGGGCGATATATGTTACACAATCTCGACGAAATACAAAGCGAAACGAAAACACTAATAAAACGTGTTAACGTGCTATCAGACAACAAATAACAAGGGTTGCAGGCCCAAGATAAACTAGGAGCCCCAGCCTTCAATGGACCATTTAGATAAAGCTCGTCTTCAAGTATTTCCCGTGAATTTTCATTCTTTTAACTCAAATATCCACCTACCTATTCCCAGCTTGAAGTCCGATTTCCTGTTATCTCCCTAATTTCCGCTCATAATTATGCCTCATTATTTTGGCTCCTGTGTCGATTTATCTCAAAAGACGTTAATTCCATCAGGCTATTAATTTTATTTACCAAATTGAAGATTTATTTAGGTACTATATTTTCGGACCGCTTCAAAATGTTTACTTGTCAATGATGAACGTGTCAATGTTGTGTGAAACTATAAATTCTAGCCATTTGTCTCTCAGTTTGTTAACTATCTGTTAAACACAAAAAAAAATATATAGCTATTTTGACATGTTTATATGTCTTTTTTATATATTTATGTTATCAATAAAGGAAATAAAATGGCATTTATTTATTTGTTTAATAAATGCTATATTATCAGTACAAAAATATTTTTAAATGTAACAAACTTAGAAATAAAAATAGACTAAACATCATCTGTTTATCTTATGATAATAGAATAGATATTAATAAAACAATTATGTTAATTACTAAACATCATTAAGGACTACTAAAACTAGTATAATTACGGCTATTGGGCGAAGTAAGGCGTTTTTTAGAAATATTTTTTTTTCAAACAAAGCCATATTAAATAATGAGAAATTATAGTTTCCGCTATGATGATGATAATAACATAATTAAGAGGATTAAAAGATAATTATAGGACAACTCAGACAGGGTTATTGTAATTTTAAGAAAATGCCAAGGTACAAATGAATCTACCTGAATTCGTGAAATAATCCTAATATTGCATATTAGTATCCTGGTCTTTATAAAATATCATATCTTTAATTCATTAGAATATATATATGTAAACTTCAATATATGTATACTTTACTTTACATTACTAAAGTAATGTCTAAAAGTCTCTTCTCATTTCAAACTAAATAATACCTTTTAAGATATAAATTAAATCATACCAAATAACAATAAAAATACAAAACGTTATTTATATGTCAATGTTAAAATTTACTAAACTAAGCCTGGATGGGATTTAAAATGCGATTCACCAAACCTAAAGTCCCTAATTAACTAGAGACGAGCGATTATGAGATATACTAACGAAATCATTCGATTATGAAAATGTCTCGAGATATCTTGATTATAGCGGTTAGTAGTTACTAATATGTACTGGACGATTATAAGACATACTAAGGAAATCATTCGAATGAAATGTTAGTAGTTACTAATACTTCCAAGTTAGGACAATGCACTATGGCTTCTCGCTCGCTTTCACGTTTAGTATAATGTCGGATGTGGCCCTTTATTATTTTTTTATTACGAGCGTATTCTATTGGAAGTGGGTATAATAACAATAAAACTAGAAATATTTAATATTTGTTGTTATATTTCGGCTTTTTATTGTTTTTGTATTTAGGTTTCCCAAATAAGTTATAAAAATATTAAATACAAAGATTCATAGGTTATTTCAATAACAAAAAATACAAAATTGTCAAGTAATACATGAAGGAAATGAACATTTATTTATTAAAAGGTTATTTAAAAATAAAAGTCATATTTGCACTTTTAAACAGAATTAAAAGAGGTCGGTCAACTTACTTTTAAATATGATAAATCCACTAAAAGGTGAAAAGCGCCACGTCTCACAATATCGTAGTAACATCATTCGATTATAAAAACAAATTCCATAATCGATTACCAATATTAGTAATACATAATAAATCGATTATGCCGATCATTCATAATCGCCCACCTCTGCTAATAACTATTATTTAAATGTAGAAGTCACATAAAATTCAATTTCTGAATGAGTATTCGGTTATGTACCTTCTGGTATAGAAATACATATTAAGAAACAAAGTACATCGCAAATTCCTATTCGCTGACTGTACATTTGAGCCCTTGCCAGGTTTTCGACCAATATATCGGACACGCTAGGCCCAAGAGACTGAAAAGTGCGTGGTTCTACAAATCTCACAGAGAACGCCACGGAGAAGTGAACTCTCACACTATTCATATAAGATTCAAAGTGTATTGCCGCTACAACTAGGGATGAACTATCAACGTTTATATCCGCAGAACCATATATCGTTTTACGGGTAATTTGTGAAGAACGTGTTTAGAATTCGTCACTTGTCAAATATTGCATCTGGAGTTTTATAAAATCTGTGTAGTAGAACTAGTACAGTTATTATTTATTTGATTTAACTGAGTATTTTATATACATTTTTTAAAGTTGGTAGAACTAAATTACTTCACTTCGAATAGTGGATTTGTTTAAAAAATGTCCCATGATAATTTTGTCTTGAAAAAGTTTGTCTATGTTAAGTAAGATCGCCTTAATGACTAACTGCGGCGCAAAGATTTAATAATTTAGGTTAGATTTAATAAATACATCAATCGAACGAACACGGAAATGTGTCCTGTTCATGGACAAGGTAATTCATTAAGTGATTGTCATAATCGTCGAGTTACCTGAACATTTTATTCGCAAATAATACAAGCCCTCGACGCTGGGAAAATACCCGTTCTCGTGATTACTTCTCGTATTTACGAGCCAACCGGAAGGCAACACGAGGTGTATTTCACTGAAAACGGTGTACCTAAGTAATAAAAAAGATCTCAGGCAATCATATTTTATCGGGAAGGCTATTTTGCGCAGGCGGATACGACTCGTTCGTGTGAGTGCGGAATATCTCAATTTCCATCGTCCTACATAAAACGACGTGTTAACAAAAATATATTCTCCAATCTTTATACCCCGTGCTATATTATCTCACATCACATTTTCCGCTGAAAATAAAAGATTCTTTATATACTGATCACTTTATTTAAGTGATATAAACAAATTGTTTTATTCCTATGTCTCATATTAAGGCAAATTTTAATAAAACGTATTAAACCCTTGAGGACAAAACGCCTCTAAGACAACAATATAGTCAGATTTGCTAACATTTCTTTTATACAAACTATCCAGCCTTCGCACCTAAGATTTCTCTTTTAATAGTTTAAGTAAAGAAATAATTTTGTCTTAATTGATTTGCAGAACAATCTATATTCTCGATGCATATTTACAACAGACAAGTCAATATGATTTTTGTGTCTGTTGGGCAGACGTTATATTTTTCCCCGAGGTTAAAATACAGGACCTCGCGCGTTTAATGCAAAGCTTGTTTAATTTCTTATTACTGTAGATGGCCTTCTTCAGTTAGCGTAGTGTAGAGATGACGTACATGGATGAGAATTACATTCTAGTATAGGTATCTTGTAATTTTATCGCTCATAAATTATTTTTTCAATATTTACTGCGGCAGCAAAATATAAAGATCCAAGCACACATTGTGTGTATCTTAAAATTACTTCACCATAATTTTTACGTTTCGTTTTATTTCATTGTTTGGGTAGACGGTATCGTAGGTGCTCATAAAAACAAAGATATGGTTCAACGCATTTTCTGCTTTTACGCGAGTCAGCGTTTTTTCTAAATAAACTGTTTGCTTTGCTTTTCTCTTGTAAAAAGCTAATTTAGTTTTAACTACGCGATATTTATGTTAGAGTGTGCATGCTACGAAATAGCAGACTATTTTTTTCTGTTACTTAAAAGAAATTTAGCGGCTACAACAAGCAAGTTATAATTACATCTTACCTTTATTGTACGTAAAAATTGCCACGCCACTATACATATGTATCTATTAATTGGATAAAAGTTATCTGTACTCGTACACAAACTACCCTTGTTAAACCAACTTTTAAAAGTTGTCTTTTAATTAAAAATTATTCATAACTGATGCTGCAAAGTATGTTATATATAATGTGATGATATTAAAACGGTTATAAGCATAAACTTGACGATTGTTATTAAAATGTTTTTTCGTTAGACAATTTTATGTACAAATGAAGAAAATATTCCAAGCGTAGGATGCGTAATTGATAACGAGAAAGTAATAGAAAAATTATATATTTTTATGTATGTATGTCAGTTTGTATTTTTTAATAAACCTTTATTCTTGAGTATTCTCTTATTATTTCATATTCTAAATCATTCGTGTTCAGTAAGTACTGGAAGTAGTTAATACTTAGGTAACTAAGCAATATTTCTTCAACAAATTTCATATCCAACAATCAACTTATTAGCGCTGAACTTACCCATCCAAGTTCACGTACACGTGAATAATGTTGTAAGTTACGGTAAACATCACGTGTGCGTTATAAATTTTGCGGCACTTTATTACGTCCACATTATCTGGGAATTTCGGGACGTGCCCGGCGGAGGCAGCAACACTATAATTCAATCAAACCTGGCTTAAACCGCCTTTCCTCGTGTTTACCAAACACGAACCCTTATCATGCTGCAGTGACGACCTTATCCTTCATATCCTTAACGTTATTAATTATGCGCGCTCGGCCGATTATAAGCTTTACGTCGCACACAATAGGGACCGCTTTGAATGGTTATCGTCTGTACGTGAGTGGCCGTCGCAGCCTATTTCGCGGCAGTAGCAAAGTCTTCAATTATGAGAACATACATGGTATTAAGTGTTGTCGGCGCTTGGTTTTTCGACGTGTATTGTAGGGACGAGGAGAAAATTTCAAAAGGTGAATTAGAGATAAATTCTTAATTATGGAGTTATAACTTTATTATAATTATAATACGCGATGCAACGCCACTATCCAATCCTAATTTAACAATACAGATGGCAGACATTAAAATTAGATCTTAAGTAAACCACAGATTAATTGTGTTCACAAATAAACTAATACTTGTGTTTTCTTATTTAACGTGAACCACTCGTTACAGACTTGCGACCTACATCAGCGTCCATCGTCCCTTTTTAGAATTGCACCCCGTTATTAAACTTCGGCCGGAACCATTTTAATTCTGGCTACACTAACACAATTTCACGGGCTCTCTTAAAAGGACCACAATAAATTGTGAACCAAATTTTCCAGGGTGCTATTGGCCAAATGAGGTGTTCGAGCCCTGTTTCGGCGGTTGCGCCGAGATTTCGTGTGACAATCCACGCAACCATTTACGTCCCTGCTATCCCTACTGCGAGCCTGGGTGTGTGTGTGAGGAGCCCTACGTCAGGGACGACAGGACGCACCAATGTGTGTTACCGCAAGATTGTTCGCCGTGAGTACCCACTAATGCATACTAGTGGTCTATAAAATATACTAGTGTTTATATAAATATTGAGGTCAAACTAAAGAGTTATTTTGTTTGAACAGAATATCTGCCGAATATTATTTTATGATTAATAGTGATTATTAGTTACCCAATGGTAATACAGCCGCTTAAAATGCTATAAATTTAGAAAAGGGTAAAGTAGGAGAAGAGAAGATAAGAGAAGTTAAAGTAAATATTAATTTGGAAAGATAATTATTAAATTCTTTGGGCCGGTAAATTCAAGAACTTATACAAGAATTTTGTAAGTTTCTTTAATCTTACATTTCAGCACCCAAATGGGTATACCGGTGCCCACCAGACGCTCAAGTAATACCAGCCCAATGAAGTTCAACCGACTTCAGAGACGTCACGGGAAAGACGACATTGGACCTATAGAAAACGATGTTCCAACACATGTTGATGAGAGAAAGGCGGCGGAAATTTCCAGAATGGGAAACTATTTTAATATAGTGATAGCCCCGCCGCCGATCCGGGCTTTACAACCGCGAAAGTTGGTGCAAGGGTTAACTAAACAAATGTAAAATTAGATAGGTTTTAAATAAATATGACGAGGCACTATATTTTGTTTTTCTATAGCTATAGTTTATTTTTTACTCTCAAATAATATATAAATAAATGGGAATTAAAATTACTAAAAATCGTTGGAAGTATCACAGGCTCCTTCAAGATTATAATATTTATTACTGACAAGTACATTACTACCAAGAAATACTGTTGTTCTTATCGATGTCCAACTTATATTTATTTAAAATATTTCTCATAATATATTAAAATGAGATATCTAAATGTTTGTATCAATATCCAAAATAATACTGTTTTGTTTCGTGATTGTGCTAAAGCGCTTTGCATTTCCGTTTATTTCTTTTTCCTTTATTAAACAATTATATCGGCGTTAAGCGTTCGACAATCACGTTTTAGTGCAGTTATTGATAAGTCGAAACGGAATGAGGAAGCTGTTGCTGTGGGCCTTGTTGTTGTGTAAGTTCTACCAGTATTATTATTCTCCAAAATTATTGATCTTTAAATACTTGGGGTACTTAAAAGAAATATACTGTACTTTAGTACACGAAACCCTAAATATAAGAATGGGTCTTAAATTAAAGAAAGACAATTTTGATCTTGCTATGATTTACTCCGAATATCCAAAGCCAAAATGGGATGACAGCGCATCGTATTTAGATTTTAGGCTGGCGTATTTTATCTACCATCAGATGAACCCCACGCTTGTCTGTCCTCCTGTACAATTAAAAACAAATAACATGCTATGTTCGCTGTCAAGCGTTTTTGTAAAAAACACGTCACGTCTACTTCGCCTTGTAAGTTTTTAACATGACGTCATATAACAATATAATCAATTACATACCTCAACTTTCTTCGTAGATAATTTAAGTTTCACTTAGTTGTTCAATTTTAGATGACGTCACAGACGCAAACAGAAACTACGACTATGACGACATAGATAGCTTGAAGCGTCACTCTTTCATAGACGATAGACGAAACTGGAGGAAGAAGGCTCTATTGAAATTCGACCAGGACCACAACTGGGAAGAAAGAAGGAGATACGAAGATACTAGATACTTGGATGACATTGAGAATAAACCTGGTCAAAGGAAGAGCGATTATGACAGTTCAGGAACGGGCTACGGCAGCCAAAAGCATGATGACGAAAAGACTAGATATAGAAGTACTGAGATCAGTCATAGTGCTACGTAAGTTTTTTCATAAGACTGTACATAAATAATTCACCTTATAATTAAATGTTTTTTTAGAAAATGTGTTACGGTAATACTGCATCGTATAAAACCCGTTTTATATTATTTCTTTTAAATCAGCCGAAGCCAATAAGTTTTTTTAGGAAATACCCTTATGTTATAACGTATACATATGTTTTCAATTTTATGGTTTTCTAGAGACAAGGAAACAGACAGAAAGGTGCCTTTTTCCATGAATTGTGAACGCCCACATGAAAGGTACATTGATTATTTTTATAATATATTCTGTTCGATCAACTAAGTTTTAATACATAAATCATTTTAATAAAAAATGATATATTATATGGGTTCAATTCATAACCTGGAAGTCTTGAATTACGTCCCGTTATGTTGCTTTATTTTACTACATAAATAAACCATATCTTTACCATAATTATACTGATCGAAATAAATCGTCGTTGCATATTTTTACTATCCCAAAGAGACTTTAAATGTGACAAAAGGTTATTAAATATTTGCAAATATATATTTCAAATTATTTTTTGATTACACTTGACAACCCAAATAGGTACGAGCCATGTTTTTCTGGCTGCGCAGCGATAAGTTGCGACAACCCGCGGGAGAGGTTACGACCCTGCTACCCCTTCTGTGAGCCAGGTTGCATATGCACGCAACCATATGTGCGAGATGATCGGACTCATAAATGCGTTTTGCCAGATGATTGCACTAAGTAAGTCTGCTAAAATCATAACTAAATGTAGAGTCCCTACATATAATTTTAGCCTTGAATAGACATAAAGTTTGTGCCTGTGAAAATAAATATTACTTAGACCTCTACAAAGTACAATATATGTAGAATTTGTAAAATCCTCTTTTTCATATGAAAATTAACTACGCTAAAAACGTAACTGTTTTAACTTTCAGTTTTTTTCTAATACAGTTACGTGTCCCATAAGTATCTATTATCTACATATGACACGTTTTTATTTTTCATTTTATTTTAGGGGTCTAAAGGGTATACCGGATTTGGAAGAAGATGTCTAGATACGTGCGAATAAAGCTACGATATGAAAATATATAGATTGTAAACTAAAAAGTGTTTTTACTCAGATCGCTTTTCATCCTAACAGTATCATGTCCTAACTAAATATGACGCACAGCTGAAAAGTGAATTCTATTCCATTCCACTCAGAAAAATTGTTTTTTACTGCAGCTGTACTCCAACTATTGTTTAGTAATCTACAACAAGTAACAAAACTTTCAGCATTGTTCACGTCACTGTACAATGTCAACGGGCTTATCCAGCATTCGATATTTCATTCACTTTTAAGAGACTTTTCAATTAAATAAAACCTTTTTGTCGAAATGTTACTTGTTAGTTTTTTTGTAATTCTATTTTTAAATGATGTCATTTCCGATGGCCAGTATGGTAAGTTTCAATTTATATTAGGAATACACAGATTAAAAAAGGCACTTTAAGAAAAAATAAACTACTTCTAATTACTTGACGTTGATTACTTCTGGCTTTGCGTTGCATTGTAATTGTACCTTTTAAGAACTTTACACCTCATCACTGTTGTATCATACATAATATAATATTTTAAATAATACTTACATCAAATATATTTACCAAAAGTTTTAAATACTCTAATCCTGTTTTCAATCACTTATTTTCTTATTGCGTGCTTTCTTTGGCCTAAGAATGCGGTGAACATGGTCGATTCGAATACTGCATCGATGAAATTCCGGGATGTGTAATAGGATGCCACTGCCATCCGGGATATTATTTCGACACGGATTCTAAGATATGCGAACCTAAGTATACACATAATTAAATTTTACTAAAGAAATACTAAAAATTTAAATTTAATTCCATTAAATTTAAATTAAAGGTTATATTTTAACATTTATGTTTCAGCGCCAAACTTAGACAGAACTATAGAAGACAGTATGAAGAACCGACCAGAGCAGAAGAACATTTGGTAACCCTTGATGGTACTGAGCCACCCGCCCCGTTTGACCCCATCGATCATGAAGTTAATGAAATCACAAAAAACGCAGATGATTTAGGTGACTGGTTATATAATCAGTTTTTTAAAACTATTGAAAACCAAGTTATCAACAAGACACAGGAAAACGAAGTACCGACAAGACGAAATGGTGTACCTATCAAAGCCATGGATTTGAGAAGATCGCGCAAAAAGAACAAGAAATCAAAACAGAAAAGACGTAAGTCGAGTATGCGGAGGAAGTTGCTTCGTATTACAGAAAACGACAGCGTTTTTGACTCATCACAAGAGCACGCATCGTCAGAAACAAGCGAATCAAGTTCAGACGAAAGCGACGGAACATTTGAGATTGCAGAAACTAAAGAAAAGCACAAAGATGACAAAGAGCACGGACATAAGAAAATCGTCATCATAAACAAGAAGCCCAAGCCGCCATTACCCTCTTTCATATTTCTACCCAATATGGACACACCATTTTACCCTCCTATTGGACTTCCACCGCCGCCGATTATGCCAATGTATCCTATTATTCCTGTGCCACCTATGCCAGTATATCCTTGTCCTGGTAAGTTTTGGTTTTATTAAATCATTCTCCTTGCTAAGGCTCTGAGTACTTTCGGGTGAATCTTGAGGAAAAATGAACAGAATATATATTTTAGTTAAAGCAAGACGATGAACCAGTTTTTTATGTAATACACTAACGAGACTACATATTAATAAGCTGTAAATCTGCGTTTTATAGATGTAACGCTGATTGGTATCTAAACAATATTTTTTAATCCATTAGAACAAGGTGCGAGTGAAACTACCGTGGTATTAACGACTACCACCAAAGTAACGCCTACTAGCACAACTTCTCCTAAAGGAACTACACAATCGGCAAAAACACCAGAAATTAGTGAAGTGGAAGACCCATTTCCAACTACAATAGATTCGGGTACTACAACACAGAAGCCAACTATGCAACCGTGAGTTATAGATAATATGGTATTTTAAAAATATATTTTTTTAGTAATGTATATCACGATTAATTATTGATTTTTAGGGGAAGATCGGGATCCTACAAGAAGAGAAATAGAGCATCAAGAATGAAACAAAACGGTTATAGTCGACGACCTCACGTTGGGTAAACCTTTCTTTACATAAGGCGTTATGACGTTCCATATCGTTCACATTCTACAAATTTTAACTCGTCTAACAGAAGTATTTTTTGAATCTATTTTTTTTATCGTTATAGATTAAAGACAAAACCGTCACAAGACGAGCGACAAAAGCTGGTAAATATCTTTTTAGATTTATTTTATTGTATAAAAAGGAAAAATTCTTATTAAGTAACATTTTTAATTACAGTTCCAGCATCTTCGAGAAAGAATGAACAAACCAGCTCCGTTACGACCACCTAAGGGCATGCCGAACGACAATGAAGATGAAATGTTTGAGTCACCCCTTACAGAAGACAACATGTTCGATGATACCTTCAACAACGAAATACCCCCGAAACCTAAGCACGGTACTGGTACTCAGCAGCCAGATAACGTAGATTTTAAATACATTAGTGAACTTATTCATCGAGTTAACCTTAACAATACAAATGAATTACCTCCTATAGAGTACAACCCTAGAGACAGTGCTGAATTTTATAAACCGCGAAAACCATATTACATTAAAAATCGAAAGTTCAACGCGCCTATAGAAACTCGTAGACTCTACTCTGATGATTCTTATTACACAAATTTGGGAAGACAAATCGCTTCGATCATTCGCAATGCAGATGCGCAAAATCAACAAGTAGATATTGAAATTGAACAATCTGAACGAAACAACGAGGATCATATACTTTTGAATAATAACTCGCCTAGGTCATTTTGGGAACGATCTGTGAGATCACCTTTGAAATATTTAAATTCCAACAAAAATAAATACGATTACCTCAAGAAGAGTAATGAACTTCTATTCAATATTGAGAATAAGGTGTCAATTGTAGCATCTACGATGCCTTCTTTAACGTTACAAGAGATAGAAAATATCGTTAATGTCATGGAAAAGGCTCAAAGCAAAATTAAAAATAAACACGTTAGGATCAGTCAAGATAAATCAGATGACAATCTCAATTTCAATTTGTGGCCGCAGGAAACTGGAGCCACTCGGAATGATTTTAACAAAATTATCGTAAAGCCGGCGCCCAAAACAATAGTGCAAAAAGGTGATAGCAGTAACAGTAAAAATTTACCTGAAATTAAAGGCTTGAGTATGCACAATATACAAAGAGTGACAGCTTGGTTATCTACCAATAGGAATAACCGTACTTATAAAGCAGATTTCGGCTCAAATATGAAATTAAACTCCAACGACGATCGTGGAAATCCTGTACCGAAGCCTCATGTTCAGTCAATTGCGAAGGACAACAGACTGAATGCGTCTCAATATCCAAAATCAAAATATCATGATTACTATCAGCCGAGTTACCAACGTAAGGGTATGAACAAATATTTCCAAGACGGTCAGACAGCGCGAGAGTTTGATGGATTGAATTTTCCCATGAAACCTATGCGCCATTCATTAAGCAAGCCGATGGATCAACAGCCGTCATACTTCCATCACGAGATAAATCATTTTGATTATTTTAATTAGTTATGGACAAAAAACTCACTACATATGCAATAGTGAATAAAAAACTTATACATATGTCTTTTGTTTGTAAAATGTGTTCTATTTCTCTTTATACGTTTTTTTATAAAAGTATTATCGATTATGGATATAGCCATATAAGTATTATAAACCACTTATAGCGCCTTAGTCTTCTATGTTGAATTAGAAATATCATAAGTCAATCCATTTACATAATAAGGTGTCTATAGATTATTCTAATCAAGTTGGTCGGAAGATAAATGTACGATTTTTCGGATCAATCACTGCTCTTTATAATCCGAAGAACCATCAAATAATAATTACACCTTACCTGTCGAAATATTATGTCGAAACCCTTAGAATAAACAACAACCTAATAAATTATTTTAAAAAAGTGTCAGGTAAAGGTACAGTGTATAGAATACAATTTATATGACATGAAATAAAATTACTTATATTATACAGCTTCTATATTTAAATACTATTTTTAAGTTTCATATTTTATCAAAAACTTTAACCCAGCATATATAAGCATTGACCCTGTAGCTAAATAGAGTTAAGCAGGTTCCGAGTTCGAATCATAAAGAAACTATAGAATACATATACATAGTATATTGTCATTGGTCAATCAGAGCATAAAAATCGGATTTGTCTGATGTCTTGCATAAGAATACAGCAACCAGGTAAATAAACATCGAAATGCATTATAACCATATTCGTTCTAAAGTTATTTTGATAAATCATTATCGAGATATTCTCGCTTGCCTGTGGCGTATCGTATTAAATTAATTAAAATCAAATGTATTCCATACGCGGTACAGACATATTAGATTCGCTACATATTTTCCGTCTCCACCAGAGGCTTTCATTTCGATTTCCGACAAGCCTAGGGATTGCGAAAATTGAATTGAATAAAAAAATATTATACAAATATCGATGGGAGTACTCTAAAAGCTACCGCAAAAGATTGCCGAGTCACGATTTGCTGGCACAGCTGATTTCAATATGCATTTTGCTATCTCACTATAATAAAACATAGGTGTATTGGGGAGCTATAGTTTCATTACTTGGCTCAAGATACATTATTAACGACGTTCATGACTACCAATGATACAAACATAATGACGATCTTTTTTATGTTGTTATTGTAGCAGAAATTTCTAAACAACATTTGTTTAGCTTCGAAAACGACAATCAAACTACAAATTGGATAATAATTGCTCTGTTTTCTTTTCTACCTAAAGAACATCGTAATGTTTTTGTAACTATGACGTTTTAATATCGATCTTGTTATTAATTACTTAGTCAAAGGGTCAAAAATCAAGATTCAGTCAGAAGATGCCGTGACCTCGGAATATTAAACAAAGCTTTACCCTTCTTGGAATAAATTTACTAAGGTTGTAACAAACTAATCTTCGGTTCTCTTAGTTTTGTTAATTTATGGGAAACGTAACTTTGGATAAGTAAGTTCTTAGGATTAAGATTGTAATTATCTTCCTATGTTTTTCCTTAATAAAAATAGTTTATTCCCATACAAATAATACCTGTTAAGAAGTAGAAGTTCGTAATGTTACAATTTGGCACTTGTATCTTTATCCCGCAAAGGCGCATTCTAACTAAATTTATTTTTTGCGCTATTCATCTATTATATATTTAAAAGAATTAGGGACCAAAATTAAAAAGAATACTAATCAAATAGAACAACAAAGTTATTATCTGTTGGAAAATTGTAAACCAAGAATGATTTACCTATTATATTAAACATTTTAAAACTTATGTTTGACGCCAGTGCAATTATTGTCATGAACAATACTCTAATGAGGTAAAGGTAATTATTAAGTAACACAAATAATAATAATGACAAAACACCTTCGACTTAACGTATCGAAACCACTAATTACGAAATTCGTCAAGTCAAATAGCTTCGGAAACGTATTAAACTTTGTTAAGGTAAAACATTTCTACTCCATCCTACCTCATTCATTTAACTGTGGCCCACATTACCAGAGCCATCTAGACAGGAGCAATATTGGGCTTTTGTTATTAATTGCCTAATTAATTATTTTACTATGTATTTGTACTTATTACTTTTACAAATTACGTTGTACTAGCGACCCGCCCCAGCTTGATTGTATGTATGTATATCTATAAACTTACTAAAGAGGATTCAAAGTTTCAAGAAGAGCCATCAATACGAAAAAAAAACTTTAAAATACTTAAATACTGTCTATAGTTTAGGCGAGTAGTACACATTTAAATAAAACACTTTAACGGTTTAAAACGCGATATATTAGTTAAACAGCCGTGGTCACCACGGCTCCTGCAAAGCATCCGAAACGGCGGGGCGAAGTTAAAAATCATTTTCAAATAAGTTTAACTAATATATCGCGTTTTAAACCGTTAAAGTGTTTTATTTAAATTTAAAATACTTTGTTCAATATCTTTGTACTTGGGAAAAAATATTAGAAGTGACAATTTTTAACATATTATAATGGAGTACATAAATTTTAATACCACATACGCATACCCAATTGGAAAATGTATTTTCACAAAATCAACAATGTGAGGAAAGTGACGTGATCTGAGAGAAATATTTTTTACATGTTACAATTTATTGAAAGATCACAGACTATATCATCATGTAGATCAAACCTCACAAATGGAATCGGAATTTATTTGGCTGAATATCGCTATAGGTATTTCCAATTTTCATATTTTCCGCGATGGGTTCGCTCCGCATCCACCGTGCCTCTAAATCTCTCCTGAGTCCCGACCATATTATTATTATACCTCCCAATATCATGTCCTCCTACATCACGGGCTACTTTACACATTCATTTAATACGTAAGTAGTAATCGTTTATATGGATTCACAATTATAGTATCTACAAATTGTACTCACTATTCAATGTTTTGAACACAATACAAATAAAACACTTTTAACGGTTTAAAACGCGAAATAACTCGCGTAATCTTTAGAAAATAGACTACCAAAATATTACGGCCAAAAGTATCCTCGATATAATAATCTCTTTAAGCTTTTTGATGTCGAAACTTTGTATTTTGCCCGAAAGTTGAAGAAGCCTAATAGAATCATTTACTTTCGACTTGCATCTAACGCTGATGGTAGAATTTGTGAGAAATTTCCCATAGGTATTTTCGGTTAAGTACTTATAAGGGCCGATGTACACTGATAGATAAATAGTGTAATTATTCGTCGACATCTTTTGTACGTATGTGTTTACTGCAAGATACTTAAAGCAAGGGTAGATGAAGAATGGTAGGTATATATTTCTGTTGAAATGATGTTAAACATAAATATATAATTATTTAAAAAACAAACCAACTTTTCATGTTTTAGTTTTGCTTCGCCTAAACATCTCCCTAAAAAAGCAACTGTAGAAGTTTTTATTATTTACAGTAAATTGTTGAGATAAAACCTATTTATGACTTTTTGGTGAACGACTATCCCTATTAAAACAGATCATCACTGAGAAAATTTTCTAACGAAATATTGACAGTACGAGAACAAAGAAAACCACAAAATTTTCCAAGTTTTGGAGTGAGGACAGTTATTGTAAATAAAACTCATCTCGGGACCTCTTGCGAAAAAGCAAGAAAATGAAGTAGTACTATTAAAAATTAAAATGAGTTGAGTTTTTCTTTTAGACAGATCTTAAAAGAAATCAGTTTTACTCCTTCATGAGGAAAAAGAAAGACATTTCTGGTGAGTTCAATGTTTAAATGTTAGCAATGTTTCTCTAATAACATGGAACGGACCAGGTTTTATAAAGCTTTTGGGATCTTAAATGGAGACATGAAGACATACATTGAACGTCGTGATTAGATCACGATACACCACATGTGGAAAACACGTGTCTTATTTGGCTTGTAGTTTGTGTCGTTCCGATATCAAAGTCAAAAAAGGTCGATAATGCATCTTGTCTAGATATTATATCGTACACCGTTCATCATGCAAACTCCACGCCTATCTGTCCTCTTCTGTTTAAACATTGAACAGTTTTAACTTGGAATTTATTAAGTTAACTAATTTAAATAAAACGGTTTAAAACGCGATATATTCGTTATATTTATTACAAATATATCGCGTTTTAAATCGTTAAAGTGTTTTATTTAAATGTCTCTACTCACGTAAACTATAGACAGTATTTAAGTCAACTAATGCTAAAGTTAGCATCGACAAATGAAACCTTACAGTTCCTCATTTAGCGTTTGAAATTAGGCACAATTTAAACAAACAAATCCAGCATGATTGAGCTAGTTTAAGCTATAATAGTGTTCCAATTAGCTTTAATATTGTATAAGATGTTTTCATTAGAATTTGATTAATTATGGAAACCGTAACATGGCCGTGTTCATATGAGTTGGCTAATTTATGTACATTGTAGGTTATCGGGGCTGAGCGTGTACGAAGCAGCTGTTACCGCACATCAAGGGTGCTTCCACTCTGGGCTTCATCTTTATTACGAGATTTAGTTATTATTAGTTTTCTATCATTACCAAATAAGCAATATCCCACGTAATTATTTTACTAACTGTACCGTGCTATAGGCGTCCAGTTCTTTATCGAATTGTGTTATTTCTAATTCTTCTGATTTAGTATTCTCATATCCTTTTGACATGGTAATCGAAGGGTCGTTGGGTCAATCCCCACCAAATCCACGTCTCTAATCTAATTATACATTTTCTGAAGCTTGGACTTCGTCTAGGAAACTGTAGCAAGAACCACCGACCCCAGATGAAAGAAATGTATATCATCATAAAAAAAACCGATCTCGGTTTTAATCTGTGGATTTCTAAATATCCAAAGCCAAAATAGATCTACAGCTCATTTTTGTCGATGTCGATATTTTATGTTGCTGGGATATTACACCTTTCAAAGTAAAGTTAATTAAACAAAAAATACCTGTAATAAATAAATGTATAAAATTACCTAAGTAGAATTGAACACCCACATTGAATAAAATACAATCTTACTTAAAGGACGTGTTCAAGGATGGCGATAGGTATTTATTAATAAAAACTTTAAAACGGAAATTTATCAGCTATCATATAACGGCCTTATCACGTGGAAATAAAAGATATCCTTTGTAAAAATTTAATACATATTTTAAAAATCTTTAGCAAAACCTGTCTTGTACATGGTGAAAGATCTGTGTGTGCTATATTTAAAATATTATGTATTCATAAATTGTAGACTATAGATTCTCACCAGGAACTGAAAATCGAGGATAACACCAGTGTTACCTAAAAGTGCTAAAAGTAAAGTGAGTGGCAGGCAAGAGGATCCCCTAATTGGATACAGCAATCGAGCCTGAGGTTACAGCCTTGCCCTAATAAAATAAGCAGTTTTTCGGATTCGACGTTTCATCTTGTCGCTTCGTATTCCGAGCGCAACTTTCGTTTTGCGAGAGGCGAAGGTCTCCGGTGAATTGTATCAGAGAAATTACCTCCCTTTACACGTCGTGATAAATATAAACAGCGTTTATTGGCGCCGTAAAGGGAACTTCTTATAATAGCAACACGATTTTATCGCGAACGTGCGTAATATTATATGTAAAGTAATTATTGTTGTAGCTGTAGTATACTTTTTATTATTTTTTAAGTACTTATTGAACTTCATTATATGCTCAATATGTGTGCTTTGCACCACAGAATACAACATTATATTACAAATTTGATAGTAGATATTGCGGTATAAAACTATGTGCATACTCGTAATAGAGAATACAACTTTACTTTTTAATATAATATGAATTTACTACGATATGAAAATATAACGTGGTTAATATAAAGGAGCCGTGTCCCTACACTATAATATTTTGTCAAATCTATAAATAATATTACTAAAGTATAATTCTCGTGTGCGATAAAATTCTGTGAAGAGCAATCACATATGACACATAGCTAGAGTAAATGAGCGGATTTATGAGAGAGTCGATCGTAGTCTCATCAATAAATAATATAATATCTTCTCAGTTCGCACCGTGGCAAAAACGTTCGTTCTTAGGAAACGATGCTACGAACGAGCGTTTTTTGCGACTCACTTGTCTGAAAAATGTTATAACGCAGTCGCTATTTTTGCCATTAATAAAATCGACATCATATGTCGACTTGAAAAAAAAACTTTTTCCAATGAACGAAAACATTTTAAGAAAAGTTTGAGTGACTAACAAAATTGTAGGTACTGTATTACGAGGTAATTCTACTTATTAATTTCTTTATCTTTGTATTATTCTAGTACTAATTTTATTTTTCTATATACTTATATCTGATAGAAGTATAAATACAAAGAATACAAGACCATTAAGAATCGAATTCATAATTATAAACTCCTCCTATCATGTACTTTATCATAAGAAGGCCGATAATAATAAAAGAATATACACCAATAAACTAAATAAATATTAGCTCGCTTCAAATACACGTAATATTGTGTAAGTTAACTGTCCTAAACAATCCGTTCCACTGAAATAAGGTTCAGGATTCGTCCTAAAAACATAATAGGTGCCTCATCTAATCCTAATTTGTTGGAGGATTTGATCCGAAATCGAATTCATTAAGGGATGCGGGCTCACATTTGGACCGTAGCCGATCTAAACTTTACACGAGCGGACTGCAAATTATACGCTCGATTACGTAAATACTCTTTCTAATGAAAACAATTCTTCAGGTATACTGAACAAACGCGGTTATAAGGATAGGAATGGGCGAACTTTTAATTTGAAGTGCGAGGGAACGTCTAATGAGATTTAAAGCTGAAATCGGCGCTAACTTGACTCATCTAATGGACAACATGAGGTGAGTAATTATTTATTTTGATAAATAATAATAATCGAATTTTAAGGCTTCGAAGCTAGCCACAGAATCTGATCAAGTACTTGTCTACAAAGAAATCGATCAGTAAAACAGGCACAGAATCCCTCATGTCCCGCGTAAACATAGAACGATATTTTATATTTATGTCCCGGGCGCAAGTCAACCTTTTACTAACTTTAAACAAGTCTAAATTATTTACAATAAAACATGTGCTTTAACGGTTTAAAATACAGCAGCGATATTACTGAGAATTATTAAACTTATTTGAAAATGAGTTTTAACAATTACGGCCCGATAATTAATTCGGAGCAGCCGTGGTCACGGGGAGACAGTGACCACGGCTGCTGCAAAGCATCCGAAACGTTTTATTTAGCAATGTTGTACTACTCGAACGTAAACTATAGACAGTATTTAAGTCTAAATTAATAGTACATTATGATATGTGTGGTAATTGTTGAAAATTAATTCAGCCGAGGCGATATTACTGATGATTATAAGAAAGCAGAGGCTGTAATTTTCAAAGCGAACATATGTCAATACGACGTTTTATATTTACTGTTGAGTCTTAAAAGATTACGAATAAAGTACTTAATATATTGTAGTAACAAAAAGTACGGTTTGTAATCAATACAAACTTAGTTACATCTCCCCAACTATAATTTTGAATACATTTTCTTTTATTTTTCTTTGTCTTTGTAATTTTAACACGTAGTTTCCTACCAAGTTTAACAGACTTTACTGCAGTCTAGACTATAGAAAAATGAATAAAATACTACCTACTCATAGTTTTGCAGAAATTTAATATTTCTAACCCTGGTTCCTAATTAGTTTTGCCATAAATTGTGTAACAAGACGTACAGGTAAAATGCACCGCCGACGGCTGTTACCATTAATACGACCTGCTGCAAAAATGTTCTAAGTTTAGCAGTTTAGTTTAATACTGAGGCGAAAAATTTGAATTTTTCAACCGTTACCTGCGTCTATAAATCAGGTGAAAAGTCGTTCTAAGCTCTCTGAATCGAGCGCCGACATTTTAAAATTCAAATTACAAGTCGGTCCGCCCTATACATCTAATACACCCTGACGTAGGTAAAGACATGCAGTTTTATATATTTGAAACATAGTTGTTTTAACCTACAGATGTAACCGAAATCATGACAAATCATTATAGAGTTTGTAATAAAACTTCCGCGAATATCAAAGAATGTACCTATAATAACAACTTTGCGTTTTAATGACACTCTGTTTAAATAAGTAATCGACCATAGGCACTTAATTTTAATTGGCTCAATTTAGCGCCAAATACAATAATAAATGTTTACATTATTTATTTTTAAACGCCATCTTGAGATACGTAACTACAGTAGATGGGTAAGCCTCGTAACATAATGCAGTGAATTAATGAGTTCTTAATTCAAGTCTAGATGGCGGGCTAGCAAATATTTTTTAAGCTCGTTTAAACTAACAAGTACACGTTGTTTCTACAGATGGCGTGTTACCTAAATATCGTCCCAAGTGTCCATTGTAAAAACGTTGTCTAAAACTTATTTAAAAAATTACCGGTATTGCTGGTATTATAAACTATCAATAAAACATTAAAACATTGGAATACAATTTATATGCGGAAATTATCCTAAGATCATTGGTAAGTCATCTAGAACCTTGGGTCATTATTGGGTATCATTATGGTGACATAACGATGACGTCACACCATTCAGCGCTGACTAGAAAGGAAGAGGGTCGAAGGTATGAACGGGTTGAGATCTGCGCAGTAGACCGCGCACCAACACTTGTCTGCGGCACTTTGAACCTTCAGCTCTTGAAGAGTGCTCGTGTCCAACAACTAGTGTTTGTTTTGAAAGATACCCATACTCCATAACAAACAGGTAATTTCTTTTTGTCTTATTTCTCCTAGTTCCTACTTTACCAAAAATAACGTCCATATTTTTTTAATATTTAGAGAAATAATAATAGTTGACCTTACAAAGATGAAGGCTTATTAAGAATAATGTTGTTATTATTTATATTTTGACCTTTTTCATAAAAATATTTGTAATGTTGCATAACAGCTGATGTTAGAAGATATTATGCTGCTAAAGGTCAAAAAGGCACTGCAACAATATGCTTAAGGGTTGCTACTTGTTAACTAAGCTGCTTTTAATAAATTTGTATTAAAAATCTTTCTATATTTTTTTATTACTAACGATAAAAGTTTTGCTTATATTTCATGTCATATAATTGAAAATATTACTAAAAACTATCAAATGTGTATATTGTAATGCAAAAAACAAATCAAAAGTGGAAGGGTTAGTAACAGACATGTTTAAAACAATATGTGTTAATGACACGAGGCCAAATAAGAGTTTTCCTATTTTAGAGAAGTTCACATTTTAGCCCTAATCCTATCTTGTTTATTAAATTCTTTAAAATGCTCGTTTTCGCCAACCCTAAAGCATTTCGTTTAACGCTACTGTTGTATGTAGTTACATTTTACTGTTTTAGTCAATACACAATTCGAATAACAATTACGTAGCCATAACAAGGAATAAATTACGAACAGCGGCATTTCTCAAATAACGGTATCTTTCTTTTGTCACCTGTGCTAAGGCAGTAAAATAGCATATTTTATATCTAATGTACTTTAAAGAAATGACAAATTAAAACAAAGTGACAACCTATCGCAAGTTATAATTATAAAAGTAATATTTTAAATCGAATAATATTATCATTTTTATACATTTTCATTTGTTAATTATCGTATCGTAAACTACCAACCTATGAAAAACCTTTATTTCAAATTAATAAAAACGTTATAACGATCTACGAAAAATATATTTTTTTACATAAATTACTTATTTATTATGATTGACTATAGATATGATATTCCTCTACTTTGGTATACATCTAATTATGTAGGTCTCAAAATATTACTTTTTAAAAATACGGTGATATGATCCGTAGTAGAAGTTGTGACTTACGTCGCTGTAGTGGTGGTGCGCGGACGCAGTTGTACATTTTGTGATTTTAATAGTTTGGGAAAATAACGCGAACGTTCAAATACTTCGTTACAATAACACAGACAATTTACAAAGTTAAAATTATAGCACTATTTGTTTTGAGTAAGTATATTATTTTAAATAGAAATATGTAAACAAAAAACTTATATTTGTCCACCTATTTTTTGTTACTATTAATTTGCCGCACATTGTAGAAATAGCCGTTTTATTTTCATTATCATGCGTCGAGCTTGTCGTATCTAGGGCGTACACACATAACGTCCCTCGATTCCTCTATTTTTCGTAACACAGAGTTTATATCTATCCTAGTGCACATTGCTATAGCGACATAGCTGTAACTAGGTCAAAGATAATCCACCCGCGCAACGCGTTGGGTCAGCAACCTATATTTCTGATTTAGTCATTAAAATGTAAGAATTAATTACATAATGGATTGAGATTGACGATTAATTCGGTTATGTTCGATTTAACGGCGATAATTTTGATTCTCTAGCCAATACTTAAATACACACTGTGATAAATATTTTTAGTTTAAATACTTGTATTGAGTTCTATATTTATTTAACACTTTTTTTAAATTATGCAAATCGACATTTTTTTATCTTAATTATATATACCTATCTTGAACAACTTAATAATATGTACCTACCAATTATATCGAATGTCTTTATGTAATTCACACCGCATTACACTAAGTTACGGATTAAAAATCTATTCTGATTAAAAAAATGCAATGACACGGTGCTCTTGCTTGACGAATTTATGTTTAATAATTTCTTAGCTTTAACATTATATCATTACCATCTCTTTATTACACAACACTCTACATTTCATTGTTGAGTTGAGTTGTATAGGTATATCTGGTTTACGTAGTTACTTGTAAATCTATTCTCTTAAAACAAAGATGGGCGTATAATATAACACGCCGTTATTCAGCAGCCACGACAAAACAAACAGTCAACAGATAATGAAATGTAACAGGTTCTGTACGCGAGTTACAATAGCATGAACCACATTTGGTTCCACCTACTAGTCTTGGCCATTGAGTAGGTGTTACTTATCTAACGTATGTCGCAAAACGGACAAAAGTTTGGAAATTTTACGATGACTTGAAGACGTAGCTACAAAACATTACGTAGTTTCCACTTTGAAAACGACACGAAAACGCGTAATAAATGTTAACAGTTTGAAATGTTACCTTATGTCGTTCCGGATGCTTTGTAGCAGCTATGGTCACGGGGTGACGACTGCTATATTTGTGTGTTAATCGCGTGAGCTATAGAGAATATACCAGCGCACTCTTATTGTAAATAGGCTTTTAAAAAACTCTGAAATTGTTGAATTAAAAGGATTAGTCCTTCGTTAGAGCTGCCTGGTCTACATCGTGGTTGCCAAGAACTTTCTTGCGTTCGTTATGTTAAGACAAAAAAATCCTTAGTAAAAAAAACGTACTACCCTTTAACTTTATTGCATTTTGTAATTACCGTTTATCATATCGTTTTAATTTTTATATCTTCTTTTGGTCTTCAATGTATTACATGGAATTCTAATTATTATTCATATTATTAAGTACAATTTAAGTCTCTCTATATATATAATATTAACCTGTATAAGTTCGAAGAAATTCCTGTTCAAGTCACATACATTGAGTATATGATTTGAATAGCGTGCATGATGTGTAAGATATATTATTACAAAATACGGAATTGAATATCCGACCTGGCTACTTTGGTGTTACACCATATTTTAATCCAACCCTCAATTTTTCGTAAAGTATTCAAACATTTTGACGCCACTGGCTAACTAGCAACAGAGTCTACTGTTTCCGATTTTCCGTTAAAAATAAAAATGTTAGAGGCAACGTGTAAAAAAATCGCATATTGAATAATTGCTACGAAACCCAAAAATCCAAAAGCAATGACGTGTAAATTCGCGTTTAGATTCACCTGTATTTTTCAACTGTCCGAAGCCAAATTTTGGTTATTAGCGAATCCTAATTATTTGTTATGGGGCTTGAGCCTATCACCTTGCGTCAATAAAACTCCATGTTACACCTGTCCACCAACCACATTTACCCTCCTCTGTTAAAAAATAGCATATACGAAAAAAAAACTTAAAACGTTCTACACTTTCTGAAGATTTGGCACAGTATAACGAAATGTTTTCATTATAATATTGAAGCTGAATAGCGAGTTTATCAAAAATGATTGCACAAACTATGTCACGGTCAACCTGTCGTTATATTGATATAACTGTAGAGTCATTATTGGCTGTTATCCAAGCGCAATTGATACAATAATAACCAATAGATACCATATGATTCGTCTTCTTTCTTAAAGCATCTATTTTGCTATAGAAAATTGGGCCAACCGCAATATTTCGCTACAGCAAACGACCGTTCAGTTTTTTTTAAACTCGTTTGAATCATATAGTGTTGTAACAGAATATTATCACACTGTACAGAATCGGTTTAACAGTTAAAAAGATTTAAAATGTCATTTTCTCTATTTCAGAATGACGTCACCGGCGATTAGCAAATCACCCGAAAAACAAAAATCCGAAAGCAAGTCACCATCACACGCTTCAGTTAACACCCAAGAACAGGTCCCACAAGCCCAACAAGAGCCACAGGCGGATCCTCTTAGCTGCCTCAGAATTTTTAAGCTGGCCGGGCTAATGATGAAGCAAGGGTGTTAATTGATTTCAAATTAACTAGATAAATGTGTATGAATCTATAGTTTTAGCAAACGTTAAGATTTAACGGATTTAAATGTATTAACGGTAAGTATATTACCTAAAAGTCAATAATCTAAATGAGCATCTTTACTGCCTTATATAGAAATGCAGGCACCTGCAACCCAAATCCAAGTAGGTACAAACTAACAATCATTCAATACGTATAGAGAATCGAGGCAATCTTATATAAATACTGTACTATACACAAAACCAAAAATTATTACGTTTAAATCCGTTTAAACGGTAGCTTGTTGGAACTTAAATGTAGATGTTAGTTTCCATTTTTATGGCAACGTCAATTTGAAAAAAAAAACGTATGAGTTATAGATTAAACGCGATTTACTATTTCAAAGATTTAACGTGTGATATAAAATATTAGTGTATTCTGATAATTTATATAAAATACGTATACTTAGGGTTGTTTTTTTGCGAGGTTATACAGCTACACATTCCGTAACTATTTATTCTAAAATATTTGATTTTCAAAGGATTAGATATGACATTAAAAAAGTACAATAAATTAATAGCCATTTTGACAATAGAGTCTGTTTGAAAGTTGACAAAATTTTGTCTAAAGTCGGCATTAAACTAACTTGAATTCGACATGTGTGATAGAAATTTAGAACTATGTATAGATTTTTTTGACTTGAGATGTTTGAGATTGTAGCTTTAATGTTATATTCGTTTACTTATATCACGAGTTCTCTCCATATTCATAATCAAGTCTATATACAATATAGTATAAGTATATATATGTAATATGAGTTATTTAGAATAAAAATCTAAACCATATATCTGTTTTTTTTTATAATCTAATATAATGAAGTTATGTATTATGTATGTGACCCTTCCTAAATGATTATTTCAAATGAAGAGATCATCCCTTTTATATGTTGTATTATGTCTACAAAATAATTACTAGGATTTTTTTAACGGCTAGTGTCCTAGCGGATGAAAAGGTGCTGAAATAAAAACACAGTGAATATGTATTATTTTTTTAATAGTATTGGTAGGTAGGAGGTAAATAACACGCAGGAGTTCTGGGTTTTTGGATAATGGGAAGTAAAGATACAATACTATTTTAATATGTACAAAATATACAATTATTTCTAAATTCTAGCATTTAAAAGTTACAGTAGAAATATGATCACAATATTTTTATTTCCTTACACTTCTATAATATATTAAAAGCTAGGCGATGCGGCGCGAGGGGGCGCGAGGAGGCGCGGCTCGGGCGTTAGTCCTCACTTTCACTTTTGCTGCACACTTGAGATCAAATGTTATTTTTACATTTATATTAAGAACCCTTACAACTCGCACACGTGACGCGAGCCGCGCCCGCCGGCGCCCCACCTCGTCGGCGTCCCACCCCCACGTGGCCCGCCGCTCGGACTTATCTAATCGAAAAAAAACAAAACTATATTATACTTCTCACGTAACTAGGCTTACCTCTATTAAGTCTGCTTTAAATTACTAGTTAACATCGTCGAAAATTATAATACGCTACAATCAATGGTGCTAATAATGCTTCGAATATTTTAGTAATTGACAATTTCGCATAGCGACGAACCGAGGATGCAATTATCCATCGGCGAGGAGATTTCAGATTGCAGATTAGAAGTCGCCAAACAATCACATCACAGTGGCCAACTAAAATAAGAGTAAATACCGACTTTAATTTGAATAAATATTTCTTTTATAAATCTCGTGTCGCTTAATTTATACAAGTTTCTTACTATCGAGTCTAAATATTGTATTGCTATGATTTATTTATTAATAGTAATATTTATATTTGAAGTTCTATTTACATCGAGCTCCTTCATAAGGATACAAAATAATAAGTGTACATTTATTTGGGCATCCGTTTTATAGATTAAATTATATATTTAAAATTAATGGACGAAGTGACGAGTTCGTTAGTGCTTCTCTTAGCTAAATCGAGAACTGTTTGCGACGGAGAATGACAAACTATACACGTTTATAGACGGACACACGGGACTTGAGGTCTAAGCGAGACTGCGAAAGGAAAGAAGCTCTAAAATAAAATTTCTCAACCGATTTGAGGTTATCTACCAACAATGAACGTGTTCCGTGTTTTGTTTCAAATCAAGAACTCAATAGATACTGTACACAAGACCTTCCCCATACAATAGTTAATTTTGACCGCTTCGAGTCCCTTTCGAGTCCCGCTCACATAGTGCAAACCAGACCTTGAGACCGCAAGAATCGTGTCTTCTTCTATACACAATAATATAATTAACTCTTCAAAGAATATACATACATGGCTGTGCTGTAATTATTGTTAATCGTTAATATATTAAAATTACATAAAATACTTTGTACTTTAGTTTTTACTCGCGACACGAACGGCAAGGTCGCCATTTAGTAAGTAAATATTCGCGCGGGTCGGTAATATGCAGACGATGGAACGTTACGAGAAGTACAATATATATTAATTTTAAAGTCGGAGAAGACCTTGGGCTGTTTTGATTAAGAGAGCTTTTAAAAATGACAGACGTCTATGTGAATTGGGGGGGGGGGCGACGAAGTGAAATATTATATCAAAGGATGTTGAAAGAAAATAAAACTAGGTGGCGATTGATAATCACAACAACAGGCAAAGTCTCAAGTCGAAGAAAGTTGTATAGTTTACGAATAGGGTCACAAACGTATATTTGATTGTCTCTCGTAAGAGAGAGGAACAAAAACGGTTAATGCAAGCTGATGTTAAAATATTCATGAAAAAAATAGAAAACTAAATATACTTACAGTTTGGAACATGATTTTTTTTCAATAAAAATAATAAATATAAACAATATATAAAAATATCAAAGGCCATGTATAACAAGAAAATAGCTTTCTTTTGGGAAATTTCTTTCTAGGGAAATCACTAATGAGATGACAAAAAACATCCTCTAGCGTTAACGAAAGAATTAAAGCTCTGTCAAACAAGGGTCAGCGACTCAAGGAGAAGCGGCACGTGAGGATGAATCTATAAAAATCGCGAGATTTAATATATCAAAAACGTTTAAGTTGTGACATTTTTAGTACATTTCACATAGGTTACCTTGGAACTGTAAATGTATTGCGGATATGCGTATAGTACATAACGCTAGAACGTTTCGTTTGATTCCGATCTCCCAAAGATCTAGTGGAGACGTATTCCAACCGATAACAATTAGACTTCCGCGTTTCTTTTCAATTTCTTTTTATTTATTATTTCCATTTTGGCCTCCTACACGATACACTGAAAAGAAGGTCACAACTTACACATTCTTTGATATGGTTACTTAACGCGAGGCGGATCGATGTGGAATGAATAAAACCTAACGTTAGGTGGAACGATTCCATATCGCATGTATAATTTACCTTTAGTATCTATCTAGAGTCGTTAGATTTTTTCAACCGAGGAGAATAATGTTCCTCAATTAAAACATCTAACGAGACACATACAGCTATTCGCTAAATTATTATATCGCATATCAATATTATTTGGATCGGAGAATTAGTTTGTTTCATCGTATGCATGTTACTCTAAATGTTAGGGTTAACATTCATACAATACTAAGTCTAAGGTTTAAATATAAGGAAACTAGAAATTAACGTGATTGAAATGAACCCTTCACTGAGGCTACGCTACGCTTAGACTACGAAACGTGGATCGTACTCGCGCGCCGTCACATGTACTGCTTCATCTATAACTATCTAAATCCTACGTTAATAGTCAGAATCACAGTTTATTTTCCACGTGTATGTTTACATTTTTATAGTACATTAAATTAGCCATATACAACTCCAAAGAACTTACGTGCGACCCCGTTTTGTAATTTTACGTTAATCTAAGTGAACGAACCAATGCTTTAATACGTATGGATAGATTCGGTATTTACATTATTAAATTAGTCTACCGCTAGGCTTAAAACAAAATAACAATTTACACTAACAATAAAAATGCTCGATAGATCGCCACTCATCGTCGGAACCCAAATTGAATATCGCGTACTTGACTTTGCTTATTTATAGTTAGTTTTTTAATAAAATTTAAACTCCGAATAAGGCCGAGCGCAGTCGACCGCAACAAAACATTTTACAAAATTATGTCTTATCTATCTAACACTTAAGTGACGGCTTAACTCTAAGTGAGACTACACGATACACTTCACTAGAATCCCATCTCGTGTCCGCACTAGTCCGGGCCCTCAGCTCGACCGATAACAAAATTTTAAAAATGAGTTTTCACAACCTGGATATTATTTACAAGAGAACGATTAATCTGTCACTAGGTCGCGTCCACGGTTGGTTCGATCGGGGGCGGCGTTTTGTTTCGAATGGGTCATCTACCCCGCTCTACACTTCCTTAACGTGTTCTTCAAGAACGCCTTTACTCCAGCACTACTGGAGTTAGTCGCAGTAGAGTTTGGGTCGGCCTCGCCGACCTGCCATTACGGTGTTCGTTGTTTCAGGGTCGATCTCAGTTTTACCCAATTTCCGTGGCTATAGTTTCCTTTGGTTAATCATTGGTCGTTTCAACCGATGGCCGTCGCGATAACGATGAGTAGATGCGCGATGTTGGCCACGCGGTGCATCAGATCGGGTGCGATTCGGTTCAGGTTCTCGTTAGCGAACTCGCACGATGGAAATATGTGCACGGTATACATAGACTGGAAACACAATTATGGGAGTTAATACAATTTAAGTATCGAGCACGTTTAACAATACATAAAAATTAATTGGAAAATATTTTATGTGCTAAAATTAAATAGTCCCAAATCTTTAACAAGTATCGTCAGCGAGATATGAGCGAGAGAATCATAATAAAAAGCCGACTTAAAGTTAAAACAACATTTCTTAATATTATAGGTATAAGAGGTAACATTAAATATGTTTTATTATTGCTATTTACAAACCTGCTGATGCCTAGGCGAAGGAGCAACATTGACAATGCCGGCGGCTTGTTTTCGCTGCAGATAGGTGATGAAACCAGCTGAAAGATTGGTGGATTGTTGCAACACATCCATGTGGTCTCGACCGCACGGCAACGCCAACAGCATGCAGTGCTCGTTTTCCAGCTGGACAAATGTATATACATAGTAGAATACTAATCTAATTATGTAGAAAAATCTATACTAATATATAAAGCTCGGGAGTTTGTTTGTTTGAACGTGCTAATGTCAGAAACTACATTTGAAAAATTATTTTTGTGTTGATTAGAGTACGTATGTATGACGTAAAAAAAATGTCCGCGACAGTCTACACGTCTATCTTTTAAGGTTATCTTGCTAGAACGACGGGAGGCGACCGAAGTCGTGAGCAACAGCTTAAATTAATAAATGTGAAGAGGTTTGCAAAAAAATTTTGGATGCCCAAAATAACTATTCTACGCGGACGAAGTCACTGACACAGCTAGTACTATATATTTTTAAAAATTGATTGCTTATCGAACAAAAATGGAACAGAGGTACTCCTATTTTTTTTAAGTTGTAACACACATTTTTTTTTGCAAGCATTTTCTGTCTTTGAACAAGTATCAGACATTAAAGAGAACTACCAAACATAAGACTGAAGTGAAATCATTGATTCGGATGTATTTACGTTGTATTCGACACCTTACTGCGCACAAAAAGGCGATCCAATATATAAACTTGAATAATATAAGTGTGTGTAATGGAAAAGTACACCTGAATCACTTCGTCCAAAAAAATATTTAGTTAGATGCAAGATCTAATTTTGAATGTTAATAAATATTATTTTATTCGAACTTCAATGTCGCTTCTTGTCCACAATTATTGATCGTTGCTTATGATCAGAAACTTACAATCGTTCTAAATGTCATGAAAACCTGAACAGTACAGTATAAGCTCGCGTTTTCAGTGACGCAATTTTTCTTATTCCGTACCGTTATGGTCTTATTCTTATGAACAATGTACTATATGTAAAGTGAACTATAAGTACCTTCATTTTGCGGTGTACTTGATCCAACTGAGCTGGTTCAAGGCGCATTCTTTGCGCGATTCGTAGGAGGGAGGTAGCAGCTCCATCCGCACTACGGGAAAGTGCATCGGCTGCGACGCCCGCACTGCCTCCTACAAAGTGCATTTGAACTGCTGCAGAGTCGTTCTTCAATGCAAGTAAACCTTGCCACATTACGGGATAACGCTGTAAGAGACACAAGAAACATAAAACTATTATTCATTTCAAACTCTCTGCAAAAAAAAAGCATACATTAATTAAAGAATTATCAAATTGAGTAAAAATAAAAACTAAATTGGGTTTTGAGTTTAAATACAACACAAAAACATACTCTGTGTTTATAAAAACAACTGGGTTTAAAAAAAACTTGTTATGAATTTGATCTAACTCTCCAGTTTTCGCGCAGCATGATGATACTGACCCTTAGTAACATCTGAAGGGAGTCTGCCTCGCGCGGAACCTGGCTGGCATGCGGTGGACCGGGCGCGGCGAGTGGTGGGAGCGCGGAGGGCGGGCGACCGCTACCGTGCGCAGGCGGCGGCGACCGACCACAGCGCACTGCGTACACTAAACACAAAATACATTTGAAAGAATGCCACTGCGACGCTTTGCTCTGACTCATTGTAATTCTTTTACATAAAAAAATAGAAGTTCCAAACTCCATTATTATTTTATCTTCAACTATTTCTTAAGCTGAGCCATCGAACATTGAATTTCAATGCTTAAATGTTAAGGTTAAAATTTAAGCATAGAATCTCTCAACCCGGTGAAAAAGGGAAGAAAAAATTCAAAGAAAACGGGCGAGGCACGATAGGTTAACAAGTATGAGCAGCGGCACGTTAAAGTCTCGCCCATGTTATAGAAAATGTTCATATAAATGTTTGCAATAATGATAATCTATGCCAGATGCAATCAGTAAGTGATTACTCACGAATGTGCCGGTCTGCTGGCGACGGCGAGTGCGCCGGTCGGGGCACACGCGCCGATGGTGGACGTCGCAATTCGAGTGGAGGTGTAGGCGCTTCGCTACCTTCCGCTTCGAGACCGCCACCACACCTGAAAAAAAAAAGCAATTACTGACTACATTACAATGATATAAAAATATATATATTTTATACTAAACAGATATTTGACCGAAAAATTATGTATTAAAACCGATATTACAGTAAATGATACTTTAGTTACATTAAAAAAAAAACTTTTTAAGCGGCGTTGTTCACTTTTTATTATTGATATTAAAAAAAGTTGTATCTCGCGCAAGGTCGTAAAACCGAGAAAGACATCGGCAGGCACGGCTGTGGCACTGATAATTAAACAAATTAAAGTAAATTTTATCTTAACCATTTCAAAATATCAGAGATTCCTATTCTGTCGGCACTACCAAAAAGCATTTTTTTTTTCATTTGAAGTTGCGTATTTTGCAATTTTCATGATTTTCTTCAACCCACTAAAATACTTTTTTTACTTTTACTAATTTTTTTTTTAAGAAAATCATGAAAAGGTAGGTAATAATAGTAGTTAGACTCCTTGGAAAAATTGGAATAAGTTCCTGAATGAAATGCGTACGTCTCTGGCTAAATGCAATTGCGTTTTTACCAAAATCAATCTTCTTCAAAAACAATCTTAATAGAAAATTATAAAAAACAAATGGTTTCTGGTTATTGGTATGGATGGGAAAACGATTCACTGAGAAAAACTTACCTCGGAAACGGTGAGGCACTAGCCCGAATGTCCTGTTGAGTCGCGCGGAAATGTTGCTGGTACATTTGGTAGTGGTGTTGTGAGAAGTGAGGGTACATTCCGTCGCTCTGAAAGTAAATAGATATATTATTTCACATACTTTAAAATTAAGATAACACCTATTTATATATAATTACATTATGGTATACCGAAGTTATAGGAGAAGTCTGCTGGTGTGCTGGCGGAGGGCTTCGAACAAACTCCGCAGACTAAATCCAAGCAAGCATGAAATATGGATATAAGTATATTATTTCTGAATTAGAAGATCAAAATAAAACACTTAAAACGGTTTAAAACGCGATATATTAGTTGAATTATTTTTTTTTTTTTCGGGGGGGTTTGGGGGTTTTTTCCCCCCGAAACCTCGGGAGACATTTATTTAAATGTGTTCTACTCGCGGAAATTATAGACAGTATTTAGATCAAAATAAGTAAAATTGTGCTACAGTAAAAAAAGTGTGCTACTCACCATATTTACTTGTCCTTGAGGGCTCACTGCTGGAACGTTGGTAATGGTGACCCGAGACACTAGAAAGAATTTTGAGGCTTAAGACATTTATTTACGCAAGAAATACATTTTCACTTAAGCGTAAACACAATATTATACATTACATAATATTATATGCGAGTAAGTACGATTTTACAATTATAGTTGGTTTGAAATACTTCTCTGGTCTATTTTAAATATAAACATTTCTAATAACACACTAATACACAATCGGTTTGGACCTTAGCTGTAGTAAATCTGCTTTTTAATAAATTAATAAATAAATAATAGATATTGGATTATAAGATGGTGCAACTTTGTGGCATATTGTAGTTTGTTTTTCTTTTTGCTTTATTTAATCTTTTCACGGTGCTATTTAAATTGGTTTTAAATAGTTTGTATGATTTAACACCATCATACAGAATGTTATTTTTACCATAGTTAGTGCGTTGGCTTGTATAAATTTAATCATTAGCGTCCACACAGCACAGCCTCGCGAGGCATTTACCGCGCGAGGCTGCTCGGTCTGTGTAGACGTGCCTCGACCGAGAAAGCGGGTGTACCGCCCGGCGAGCGACCAGCCACCACCAGTGTCGGCTTTTTGTTTTGCTCAAAGGCGCCTCATGGTTTGCCGCCGCACTCTACCACCTATTCTGTTTCGTGCCCCGCTCGAGCATAATAATTATGGATAAAGAATTTTATTTGAAATTAATATCTCTCTATGGTTAAACACCTGCACAGGTACAGTTCATTTCCATAACATTCGTTTCCATTATATAATCTGTTTTTGTATAATGTCTGGATCCAATATTGTCTTCGTTTAAGTTTTTTTTGTCTTCTCTTTTTTATTATCCTATTTATAAGAATAAAAGCAACAGCTGCCACCGCAACACGTACGTGTGGTGCCATGATGTTTTAACTCTCAACTAAACGAACGAACACATGGTTCGGGCTAGCCGCGCGCAGCAACTTCGCGATGTTACCGAGGCTGCCGCGCTCGTTCGGGGACCGTTTCCAGAGCGAGCAGCCTCTCTGTGTGGACCCGCCTATTAGCGTTTTTTAATTTAGAATGTAAATTAAATTAAACTTATTTTATTAACAAAGAAGTAGTTTTTTAATAACCATTGTATTCTCGTCAATTATTAACCGTTTTATTTTGACAAAATTCCAGAAAAGCACTTAAAAAATATCCAGCACATGGCCTCCGACTGCTGCCTTAGGTACTATATAAATGTTAGAGGAGTATGGTAATTCTTAAAAAGTTGATATTGGATAAAGAGTGTCCAGCAAGGTTGTCGCTTACTACAATAAATAAGAACCTGAACATCAACGTTTTTCGGGCCCTTCTTATTAATACGTTGCCCATACAAAAATAAAAACATTTAAAATAAAAAAAATACAAAAATTGACCAAAACATGAAAACATATTTCGCATGTCCAATTCAGGTAATCTTGGTTTCGGCATCTATAAAATATTCAAGAGCAATTAGGTCAGTCTATTTTCAATGCCTAAATAAGTTATTTTGTTTTGAAATCCTAGCAGTTATATTTAAATAAGCCCTAAAATGATTAGACATGTAAATTTAAAAAAATCACAAAAATCATTATAATGGTTTTCAATGTATTCACGTTCCTTAAATCAAAAGTAAGTTTCAATGTTGTTTTCCATATTTTGTGTTGTGGAAAATCATTTTGTTTTTATTTCGTGTATTAAATTACAGCGTAATTTATATTATTTTTTGTTTTATTTCTTATCTGTCGGACAGTAACCTATTTTCTATGTTTATGTGTTTGGATATGATAGGTTTGGCTGGTTGGTTGGACTACATTTAACATCATTATCCTAAAAAAACTTCGTTAAATTGTTTGTTTATGTACGTTTTTAAAATATACGACTTTCTTCAAGCATTTTTTTATTTCCAATATCTCTAAGTAATGTCTCATGACTAACAACTAACGACGAATGAATTCTTGGTATTCATTCCAGGATTGCCTTTTCTGTAGTGTAGTTTAATACAAAAATATATTCCGATCGATTAAAGACCCAGTGTCAAGTTCCAATTATATAGTTTTACCAGGATGATGGTGATGCGGTCCGACGATAGCCACTTGTTTTGTTGTTGGCGGCGGTGGATGATGAGCGCCTCGTGGTAGACTAGCAGGCCCTGGGTATGCGCCACGGTATCCACGGGCAGCTAGGGCTCCTGGACCCGCTCCGACGCCTGCGGCACCAGCCGCACCTGCCACGCCTGCCACTCCAGCACCCTCAATTCCGTCGCCACCGCTTCTGTTGAAATTACAAAACATTTTTACAATGAGACTTGATTGGGAAATACATATTTATAGAATTTTTCAATATTTCTATCATTATTATTTCAACGTATAGCTAACATAATATATTACTTTAATTTAACGTTAGATTTTTAAAAATAGTCACCTAATAAGAATTGGCGTGGCACGGTCGGCAGGTCGGTGAGTTGAAGGTGGTCTGTGGGGCAGGGCAGGCGATTGCACACGAGCGTCCGTTGCCTCAGTCGCACCTACAGGCATCATATTTGACGGCACGTTGTCGACCAAACGTCGGATGTGTCCCGTTTCAACGTTCGTCATGTCCGAGGACTCTCCAAGCGAGATTGTTACAGGTTCTTGGGTTGCAACTACCTCAGCTGGTCTCGGTTCGCGGTGAGCCAATATGGGTCGGTCAATTTCCACCGGCCGCCGTTCAACGGGCATTGGAACGATGCGTTGATCTAGACCGCCGGAAGCGACAGGAGCAGTCGCCGGTGTCGGTACCGGTGCAGCAGTTGGAGCAGATATGGCTGTAGATGGTGGACCCGCTGCGGCTGCTTCAAATGCACTCGCCAATTTAGCACTTATCTCCGAGATCATTTTCTTCGGTGGTTTCATTATAGGAGTCGGATTTACTACAGGTTGCGGTGGAGAGGGCATCGGAGGCGGCGGTACAGTCTTAACCACGGTCTCCACTTCTGGGACAGACGGTTGGATAATAGGCTCACTAAGTTTAGGTATTTTTGCATCTTTGACAGTTTCTTCTTTTTTGTTTTCATCAGAGCTATCGACCGAAGTGTCAGAAAGGCTGTCCCTTGATCTCTTTGTGCCTCGAGGTGACTTTCTCGTGTCCGATAGCGCCTTGTCCGTGTTTTGTTTCGCTCCAGCTTGTCGGGTTGGCCTTTTTCTATTGGGCTCACGAGCATTCTTGTTATTTGGTGTAGGCCCTTTAACATCATCTACAATGTCATCAGATGTACTCTTTTGAATATCTTTTTCTTGTAACCGTCTCGATTTTCTGGTGTTTGTGGAGGGTGAAGCAAAAACTTCGTTTTTTTCTTCCTTAAGCTTTTCCTGGGCTTTGATATGATCTTTTTGAGCTATGCTTAACGTCGACGTCGGTATTACTCCGGCATTGCCCGAAAGGGGACTTTTTATGGTTAAAATTAATCGAGGCCTCGATTCTGCTTTGTTTGTTGAGGACGTTTCGTCACCTGAATCTTCATGAAAATCATAGATATCTCCAGGCATATTATGAAAGTTGCTGTTGACTAGGCTCTTCACTTTTTTCTCAACCTTATTATTTCGACCTCTACCTCTTCTACCCAAGCCACCACCGCCACGACCAGGCTTGGAAATTTGACGTGCTTGTGTCTTCTCTAGTTTCTCTGTCTTTCTGCCCCTATTTGCCTTTCCGCCTCTTTTACTTGTTGGTGTTATCTTTTCTACAGCATAATCTTCCAAAGCATTACTATCGCCAGAGTTTGAAAGAGTATGGTTTTCTGTTAAATTTGAATTAGAACCTCTTGAAATTAGATTATTTGGTAAAAATTGTTCGTGTGGTGGATTAATATCATTAACTGATGTTATACTTTTAAATTCTTGTGTTTTGGGATTTATTTCTGAATCATTGCAAAGAGAGTCAACCTTTTTTATAACTGATTCTATTATGAGGTCTTTAGTACTCCAAAACTCATTATCTTCTGGTGTATGAATATCGTTTTCATTATTTTCTTTATTACTTGGCGACACACGAAACGCAGAAAGATCTTTAAAACTATTGTTTGAATTAAAAACTTTGCATGAATTCATTATAACTTCTGTTTTATCGCGTTCTTTATCCTTAAATTTATCTTCCAAGTCGAGTATTTTGTCTTGATTATTTAGTATATCAGAGATGTTATTAGATTCTTTTTCAGAAGAAAGACAATCTTCAAAACTTTCTAATATTTTTTTATCTTTAATATCTTCGTCACTTTTTATATTGGTTATGTCCTCCTGTAATCTTTCCGTTGGCAGATTTTCAGATACCTGCACCACTTCACATTTCTCATCAAGGTCATCCACTCTGTCGTTACATTGCGAAATAACAGTCACTGTCTTACCCACATTCACTTCTAGTTTTTTCTCAGGGTTATTAGTAACCTTAATCTCATTTGTATTATCTTTTAATAGTTCTTCAAAGTCAGTTTCACATTTAGCTACATTTTCTGGTGATTTTGAAATTAGAGGTGTCATTTTGGTAACCCCGTTTGTCCCGTCAATACTCTTCTCATTATATTTCTCATCGCTATTGCTTTCGGCTCGATTGACCGTCTGTGCAGCATTTAGTTCAACATGATCATTACGAGGGTTTAGACGAATGGGTAGGTTCGTATTACACGTAGATTTTAGCAACAATGGCGTCATAACGACATTAGTTAGAGTTGATGTTGTAAAAACTGCGGCATTTGACGCATCAGATTTAGTAATAACTGCTGGTGGACGAATTGTTGCTACTGACAAAACTGTAGGTTGTCCTTTGTTGTTATCAATTTGAATAAGATTATTCTTGGAAGATCCAGTTATTATTCTTTGTTGATTAATTGAATGAATTACATTTTGCCCTTGTCCTCGGCTTAGACTACCTTCCTGAACGCTACACATAACAGATTTCGAGCCACTTTGAATAATAGTGGATGGCTGATTAACATTGGCAACGTGTATAATTGAAGAAGAGTGATATGGAAGACCTCCATGTTCTGTTTTTTGAATAATGTCCCTCTTATCTATAGCTTGTTTGTTGTTAAGTAGAACTTTTTTTGGTAAATGCAACGAATTCATAGTTGCAACATGCATAGGTAGTATACGATTAGCCATTACGGAATTACTCGAATTTGCTTGTAAGCGTGTTGGAGACAAAATTATTTTAGTGCTTTCAGTTACATTTTCATTATTTCCAATTTCCCCAGGAATAAGCTTTTGTTGCATTACAGAAGAATTTACACAGGTGTTTTTATGTTGTTGTGGTATATTAGGACCCAATGGTTTTGAAATTGGAGCTAAAACGGGTGTTACGGGCAGCCTGTTGAAATGAATGGGTGGCCCTTGAGTCTGTACCAACACTGAGTTTGGTCTATTAGGTGAAATCATAGTCCTAGCTCCATGCGGAATATGAATAGGACTCAAAGGAGGCTGTTGCATACGAACAACGGTGACTTGTCCTGGGGACCTTTGCTGCATTGCATTTTGAGGCGACATTCCTACAGAATTTAAATTTTGTGGTGATGTGGTTAATATGGTCATATTCGTAAGACGCGACGTGGTTATGCCTTCACTTTGTGTACTTTTTGGGCTCTGTAATCTTGTTTCAGCATTCAAACGAGGAGATATTACAATTCCTTGTGGTTTCTGATACAGAACATGATTTTCGGGTATTTTAATCATTGGTGGTTGCATATTGGTCAATTGACTTTGACTTCTTGGGTTAACATTCATACGATTAATCACTTGATACGGAGAACTCAATCTTGTAGAATTTGAAATTAAAGTATTTGCAATATGCGATGGCCTGATCTGTAATATATTAGCGGTAATTCGAGCTGATTTACCGTCGTCTTTTCCAACTGTTGTATTTACTGTATGTGCCTCAATCTTATTGTTACTCAAAGTCCATGATGTAATGACGGGTGTCGGTGTAGAAGTAGCTAGTAATGTAGGTTCCTGCTTAATGCTTGAATATGTATTGTTACCTTCAGATATCTTTATATTTGCTGTGTTTGGAACCTGAGTTTTTATATCTGACTGTACTATAGTTGTTTTAGGTTTAGCAACAATAACATTCGAGGTTTCAGGTATTATTTCTGTTTTAACATTGTTATTTTGTACTTGAGTGGTTGCAATTACATTAAGTGGTAATTTTTCAATAGCATCTTGCGACGTTTCTTCAGTCTCTTCTGTATCAGTATCAATAAGAAGAAAGTCACTCTCGGACACAGGTGTGTCAGGTTTTATTTCCATTTCACTAGCGTTCAAATTTTGCACTGCTTGTCGCATTTCTTCTGCGTCTTCTTCGGGAATATTTTCAGTCCCGGTAGATGTAGTTTCTATTTCAATTTGGTTGCTTTCATCTGTTACTACTTCCTCGAAACAATTGGCAAATGTATTATCTTTTCCACCAAAACTTTCCCCTAGCAAAGCTGCAACGGCATCTGCAGTTTCTTCTTGAGATATAATTGCTCGTGGTTTTTCTTCAAGCTTCTTTGTTGCATGGCCATCCGTTGGCGAACTTTCTCGTTCTTTCTGTTTTTCAGACTCATTATCAATACATGTTATACTTCTAACCGCATCTTCACTACCATTTGATTGGATATCTGTCGAAATTTGTAAAAATATATTCATGTTTGTATCGTTATTTACACTTGTTTGTTCTGATTTCGGAGGTCCTTCGGGTAGCGGCACTTCGCTTATATCTTGAACATGATTATTTTCTATTGGTGGAGGCATCGGTATATCATTAATTTCAACGCTCTTTGTTTCCTCAAAACTCTTTACTGTATCTCTTTCATCGAGTGATAACTGAATGGTACTATCTGTATCATTATTTTTACAATCAATTTCTTGCGATTTAATGGCAAAAGGAGGACTATCCGTTAGTCTTGGTAGGCTAGGAGATTCCGAAAGCGATTTTTCATCAGATCTATCTGTTTCAACTTTTTCGTTTGGAAGTGGTATATTTAAAATCGTCTTTGGTGACATGTCAATATTTCTTTCGAAAAGACTTGTATCTCTACAGTGCTTATCATTGTTATAATAATGTTCTCTGCGACTTTGACGATCTTCTCTATTTTTCTTTTTCTTCTTTTTTCTATCTTTAAAATCTTTCTTTGCTCGATCAATATATTTTTCACTGTTCAGTCCATCGAACTTTACACTAAGGTCATCCAATTTAGGTTTGCTTTTAGAAAGACCTGATGATTCGATCGCTTTTACACCAATATCGTCATTGCTAATAGAATCTGCAAATAAACGAGCTTCGATTGCTTTACTTACTGCATCTACATCTAAACTGTTTTCATCTTCCTTAGAAAGTGGTTTCTTTTCTTTTCGTTTTCTGTCTTTTCTTTTTTTATTATCTTCTCTATTTTTGCATTTCGAATCGTCTAAAGATTCGTGGTTTAACTTAAAAGAATCATATTGTTGTATTTCAACCGATGACTGTTGTTCTATTTTACTTAAAGCGTCGTGATCCGACTCATCAGATAACGGACCAAAAATATCTTCCATCTTACCTTCCCTCTTAGTATTGCCGGGGTAGGATTCGGGCATAATTTCAGTCGACGGCCTTTTATCCCTTTTACTTTTTTCGTCTTTTATGTCATCAATATCTACGCTGTCGCGCGATTTATTATCTTTTCGCTTTTCCTTTCTGTTATGCTTACGATCTGTATTTTTATGTTTGTTGTCTCGATCGTCACAGTTATCGGTTTTAGTATCCTCATCAGAAAAGGTTGTTTTGTGTTTCTTTTGTTTCTTTTTATGCTTCTTTCGTAAGTCAGAAGACATACGGGGCGGTAAAGATTCATTTTCTGATGAAATATCATTACAGATAGATTTAATAAACGACATTTTATAATCACTATCATTTTCTGTATTGGATTTTACTTTGTTGTCATCACTATCACTCTTACCGAATAAATTAAGAAGAGAAGTTTTCTTGACTTTATCTTCAACAATAGATTCTTTTACGAAGTTATTGATATCGTTACATTCACGTAATGATCCATTGTCAGACAAATATCCTCTTTTAAAATCTCTGCTTCTAGTGGGACTATTCGTTCTTTTTCTTGTGTCATCTTCTGATGAATCAGACATAATTCTAGAGCGAGAATTTTTTCGCGATAATTTATTTCGTAAATCATCATCATTGTTTGCTAAGCTGTAATAATCATCAATGCTATGTCGTTCATAGGTTAAAGATGATCGTTGCAAATCATGTCTTTTACTTTGACCAAGTAGTCTGTGATCCTCGTCAGACGAACTATCGACTGACGATTTACTAAGTTTTTGTCTATCGTGTTCAGAGTCACTATCCTCGTCCCAACTTGACCGTTTCTTCTCCTCACGTTTAGCTCTACTTTGTTTCAGTTGACTGAATTTGGCCTTGATCTTTTCCTGACGTTTTTCTTCTTCTTGCTTCTGCATGTTTTTACAAGAGCGTGCCTTTACTTTATCGTACATCGAAATATAGGTGGGCCCATCGTCGACAATATCAAATATGGAGTGTTTTTTAGGTTCATCCGAATCAGAACTATCTGTACTTTGCGTTTGCTTCCTATTCTTCCGTTTTTGGTCGGCATCTTTACTTTTACGTTCTGTTGACATACGTTTTTCACGAACAGATTCCTTTTTCTTGTCATCTTGCCTATGTTTCTTATCATCTTTTATTTTATTGATTTGATCAGTATTTTGCAATGCACCTTGTTGCATTTGAAGTTCTTGAATTTGCTGTAACTGTTGGATCCTCTTCTTTTCTTTCATTTCATTAGTAAGCGCCCTTTGCTTTTCATCTTCTTCACTAGATCGTAGCTCGAAAATTGCCAAAAAGTCTAAGTTGTTATGCATATCGGGCCTCGTTTCAGTAATGTTACAAGCCTTGTCCTCTTTTCTAGGTTTCTCTTCTATTTTACTTTTTAGTTTGTCGGGAAATTCGGGTTCCTTTACTGGTGTAAACATATCATCTGGTGGTTTTACTAGATTCTTTTTATCATCCTTTGTTTTACTCTCAAATAGTTTTGCGAAGTGACACTTATTAAATTTGGTGGTTTTATGTCTATCACTAGATTTTGAATCCTTAAAGTCACGCCTGTCTGCACATTTAATATCGTTTTTACTTTTCTTTACATCTTCTTCTAAATTATCGAGAACATCTTGGGACGACATTCTTCTTTTGTGCCCACCGATATTTGAAGGTAAACTTGAACATGAACTTAGACGTTCTTTGCGCTTGTTATCTACATTTGAAGAGTCCAATGAAAAATGTCTTTGTTTTTCGCTGCCGTCTTGTTTACATTTTTGCGAAGGATCAGTAGAACTATGTATTTTGTTTTTATGAGTTATATCACTTGGATGTTTTTCATCCTTTATTTCAGATTTTACTTTTAATTTATCGATATGATCATTTGTTTCAAATGGCACTTTATATGATTCTTTAACATCATTTTTGTTAATTAAATCGTTTTCTTGTTTAACTTTTGCTTTAACGTCCTCTTTATTATCGGTAGGTTCTACAACATCTTTGACCTTTGTTGATTCGTGGGACGTTCGTGATGTTGTGGAGTCTGTAGAATCCTTTCTTGTTATTTCTTTGGACGATTCATCTCTAGAAGACTTTCGACTTTTATTCACGTCAAATTCTTTTTTAATCTCACGTTTACTGTCACAATTATCTTTCCGTTGACGATCATGCTTTTGTTTGTCTTCCTTTTTCGCTTTACAAGAAAATGGGTCAATTTCAATTAATTCTCTTCGCCTTTCTTTTTCTACTTTCTCTTTTTTGTGATTATTGTACTCAGACCTAACGTGTTTATCATCAAAGTGTTTCGTTTTATCTGTGTCTCGGACTAAACAATTGTCTGAATTTTTATCAGTATCTCGTTCTATTTTTAATTTATCACTTTTTTCTGAACACGATTTACTTGGCGTTTCATCTTTTAGGCGTCTATCTTTTTCATGTTTTTCTCTTGAATGTTTGATACTTTTTGACTTGTCTTTGTTAGGATCACTTCTTTCTCTTTCAATACGTTCTTTGTTGTGTTTAATTTTATCTCGATCGCTTCTTAAGGACCCGTCAATATCTTTTACATGTTCTACCTTCTTATCGCAGGTACTTGGGAGACAATTTGCAGTTTCTCCTTTTTCTAACGATTTTTCTTCATTAGAAAAAGGATCATTCAGTTCTTTTTCATTTAACTCTTGGCGGTGGTGTGTTTCACTTTGAACATGTGAATTCAATAGTTTGTTTTCGTTTTCACTATTTTTAGTATCTATATTATATTCATTAACTTGATTGAAATTTCGGTTATGATTATCTGTAAAGTTCACTGTGCCTTTATGGTTAAAAAACCGGCTCTCAGTCTTTGCCATATCTTCAATTATTTTGGTTTCTAAATTTAATTCTTGGTAGATTTCAGTTTCCTTTTTTATTTCCATTTCTATTGCATCTATTTTATTTTCATTGTTGTTAGCTACGGTTTCTACCATTTTTTTTTCTACTTTTACATTGCTGTCTGATTTATTCAAAAGTTTGTCTACAACTTTGTCAGAATTCGATACATCTTTAATGCTATGTCGCCTTGATCCCCAAAAAGGAATTTCACCCCTGAACTGTTCTTTTTCCTTTGCTTCGAATACAAGATTATCATTAAATTCAGACATCGGTGCGACCTTTTCAGTTTTTATGACAATTTCTGGCACATTTGTTAACGCTTCGTTACATGGCTTGTTTGATTGTAATTTTTGATTTTCTTGTAGCTCTCGAAAAAAACTACTATGAGGTTTGAACTCGAAGTCAAGCTTTTCATTGGCCATATCACATTCCATTGACTTAGTTTCATCGCTGTGCATTATAATGGAGTTTCTTCGTTTTTCAGACCGTCCATCTAGTTCAAAATCTCTACGTTCAGTTATTTCTACAAATGGTTTGTCTATAGAAGGAGTTCGTAGTCGCAATCTATTATCCGATGAATTGTCATTTTCAAATTTTGGGAGGCTATCAGATTGTGACAAACGATTTAGGCGAGGGTCGGAACGGTCGCTGTCAATGGACGGGGCTGATGTATCTGTCGAAACCACAGAGCTATCCGACGGCGGGGGTGGATGTGTAGGAAAGGGATAGCGTAACGCCCGCGGTAGTATAGGTTGTAAAATTGAACGTGGACTACTGCAAGGACTAGGTGGTCTCACAGCTCCTTCTAGTCGTTCAGAATCTTCATCGAATACAGATCGCTTTGCTAGCAGTGACCGAACAACTTCTGAGGGTTTAACTTCGTTGATATCGAGCTCCAACAGCCTGTGCCTAAGACGAGTTCGATCGGGTGCATCGGCATGAACTCTGGAGCCAGACCATCGCTCATATTTTTCATCGAGAGATCGAATTCGCTCTTCCAATGAAGGGGAATGAGGAGCAGAACCACTACTAGATGACGATGCTGAAGGCGGTCGCGGGGGTGATGCCGGTGCTGGTGCAGGTGCTGGAACTCGAGGCGTTGTTGGGGCATTTCGTAACAACTGAAGAGCAAATTTCGGCAATGGTAATAACATAGGGAGTGGAGGTCGTTCTCGAGGTGGCCGTCTCGGTTCTGTTGGTAGAGCATCTGGTTCATCCCGCAGTGGAGTTCCAGCCCGGGACGCACGAGATCCACGTGATCCGGATCCGTCTCTTCTTTTTCGATGTCTTCTATGAGAACTGTGTCTTTCCCCTCGAGATCCTGAACGAGACCTTCTTGAACTACCTCCTGCACTCCGATGTCGTTCCTGAATAAGAAAACATTATGTAAACACATGAAAACGTAATTTTTAGGTGAATTTTTCGCTGTATAAAGTGAAACTTTAATTAGAATAGTAATTAAATAATTTTTAACATAATGAACCAAATGTAGATTATATATTAATGAAGTAAATCAAAGAAATGGGAAGAAGAAATTTACAGATTTTAGATAAATCAATACAAGTTATCGGTAGCTGAATTATTTATTACGGTATTTAGAAAGTTTGATAAATGCAATTAATTATTTTAATAGACAAAAAAAAGATAGAAAGCGACGAGCCAGAACATTTGTTTTTGGATTTTTATTGCTATTTATGTCGGAGAATTTGCGTTTATTTTTTAAAGTCTCGACTTTAAAGACTTGACTAAAGATTACGAGTAATCTTTAGTCAAGTTATCTTTTCGTAGGGAAATAATCTTTTTGCTATTGTTTTTTAAGTGGACATAATTCGAGATATTTTAGAAATCCGCAAAAGGAAGTGATATTTTTTTAGAAATCCGCAGAAGGAAGACTTATCGACATTCCGCTGTATAACCCTTAAAACTTCCCATGTAAAGTATATTTTTTTATATAATATTTTATTGCTTGATCAGGAGTGAATTTTTTTAACTTGGCAAAAGATCACAACAAATAGGAACAATAAAAACATCGATTTTGTATGGACCAAACGGCCTCAATATTGAAAATAACATTTTATGACGACCTTTTTTATTATTTAACTCGACGTTTGTAACGCTTTTCACCGACCGACCACCGACGAGTGGGACTTCTACGTTCCATTGTCGTTGACTTTGCATACATCCCGTCCCTATTTAAGGTGAAACTAAAGAAATTTTAATCTGTCAATTTACGTAAATAGTTAGGATTTTTATCAATTGTGTATGATGTTATGGTTATTACGTAGATATTACGTGAATTTAAGGTAGTTCATTAGTTTAATATATAATCTAGTGTTGTCTCAATGTTTTGTGTAAACCAATGTAAACCTTGCGAGAAAATCACGATTTCATTGATTTTGAAAAAAAAATACACTATAAATACATATGTATATAGTCTTTTAAAAATCTCAACCAACCTTTGAATGTTTCCTATCTTCGGGACTAGAGTCATGCCGATGTTTATGAGTCCGGTGCGGTGAAACGACAACAGACTGCAAGCGATCTTCGTACGGCGCCTCATCCGTTGGTGGACTTGATCCTAATTCTTCGTGTACCCTATAAATGGTTGCCGATATTTAAAAGGTTTTCAACTTTTTGTAACATCTAGCTGGATATCATTATTTCGGGTCAACCGAATTAATTAATTTATATTGTTCATTTTTCAATCTGTTTAAAATTATTTATGATTAATTAAAATTAAATAATTTTCCACATTATGTGGCAAACAAGCAGCAGAAATTATTTTTTAACATTTTGCCTAATACATATTTTGATAAGGGATACATAATATAAAATAAGTTAAAGCTAGGAAAGCGATAATTCTTCATCTTCTATTTATTAAACAAACCTGTACCGTCGATCAGCAGCGTAGTCTGACGGATCATAATGGTCGTGATTATATCTGGGTGTTCTAGACGAGCTGCGACCAAAGCTTGGAGCCCGAGATCGTGATGTACCCGTTTCATACCTGAAAAAATTTGCAGTTAGAAAAAAAATTAAAAGGCGTATTGCAAAACAAACAAATCAAAGCCAACTTTACTATCGTGGAAGCTTTCTCATTACGCGGAAATCATGGGATGGATAACCACTGTATGATTTGCGAAGCATTATATTTTTGGAGAAATACTTGGTTGGCACAAAAAAAACTTACCTTATCTGTTCATGTCTGGCAGAAGGTAAATAACGACCAGAGAGGTCAGTACTTAATCTCTCCGAACTGGTCAACGTTGAGGATCCACCATGTTTTTCCAATTGTTCATAAAACGCATCCTAAAAGTAAAATAATAATGGTAAACTTATATTGAAATTACATGTTTAACTGAAAGCTAAAAAAATGCAATGAAGTTACTTTAGTAAAATTGTATGCCATATACCTGACACTCTCTCGAAGCATAGTCAACACAGAGCCTCGGTTGGTCGGGTTCAGCGGCGGATAGGTGTGCAGCGAGGCGACGTAGCTCCCGCACGGCGGCACCCGCTGCAGCTGCTTGCTCAAAATGAACAAGGGCCGCGCCTGCAGCACGATCCACACACACTGACGTCGCCGCACCACACCGAGACACCGCAGCAAGAACCTAATACATTTAACAAAACAAAGATTTTAAGAAGAAATACAAACATTTGTTAAATAATTATTTACTGTCTCTTTGTTGTTTCATTTCAAAAGTCAATGATATTTGGAAGAATGCTTCCTTATATAAGGTACACAATATAAGGTACAACTAGAAAAGCTTAATAGTTATGCAGTATTGGCTAGTATACATTTCCTGTTATAATGTTCAAAAAATTAGTAGAGTCAATTATGATGCTGTGGCTTCAATTTGATTTTTAAATATTTAAAAAAGTGGTTTATACAAGACATTTTGATAAACTATAGTTATTACTATTACCATAGTAAACTCAACATATACAATAACAATATAGAAATAGTCAACAACACACTTTTCCAGATTTTTCAAATTAAGACATTTTCTAGGAACCTGAGGCTAATCTTTAGGTTAAGCTGGTAGGCAAAGGGATGGAATACTTGTTTACCTGCTTCTCTGTATGTTCTGTGAGCCCGTCGACCCAGACGCAAGTGGTAGCAACAGGTTTCCCAAAACCTAACTTAACCCTTGAGCTGCCCACATATTCGCCGTCCATTGCCCGGATAGCTTCTACCACACTCGAGATGGATGCATATTGACAAAACGCGTAGCCCGCCCCGCCACCACTACCTTTCTTTATATCGATCTCTATTATCCGTCCGAAGTGCTTAAATTTGTCTCTTAACTGCTGCTGCGTCACATCCTTCTCCAAGTTACCGATAAATAACGTTCTAGTGGCCTGTAAAATATACGTTTACTTAGATTAGATGTATTGTGTAAATTAAAAACTTATTAAAATGAATTTTAATAAAAATAATATATTGTACACCTAAAATGCTTTCAGATTTTAGATAATTGAACCACGACAAAATACTATACAAGGAGGAGTAGAGGTTTGTGGGTGTGGGTGTGTGGCGGTGTGGGTCTGTGGCGGGGTGGGTGTGTGTGTTCCAAGGGACTGGGTAAAAAATTTAACATAATATTAGTATTGTGATGTTATGTTAAATTCATTTTCATTCATCGTCATTAATCGAAAATATGATACCAAACACACAGTAAAGGGCTCCACGCCCCAAACGAGTCATTTTGCCCAGCAAATAAAGTGATTCAATGTAATTGTACTCCTACTAATCTTTAAATTTTGTCAGACCTGTAGGAATTTATGTTTTAATAATGTTGATAATTTCTGGCTATTTTTTTACCTTAGGGTGGTATTCATCAATATCAGTCTCATAGGGTTTCGCTGACTCAGCGTCATCATCGCAACTCTGGTGAGGAGCCACAGAGATCTTGCAACCAAAAAAAAGTTTATCTTGCGATACTTCCAGTGCTTTTTCTACATCGGACGGTTTTTTGAAACGGACCACCGCGTATCGATCTGCATTCTGGCCAACCACCTTCACCCACACAACTTTGCCGTGCTTCTTATATTCGTGATAGAGGCCGTCTTTCAGGGAGCTGTCAGTTGACCTGGTGGGGAGATTTCTAACGCATATTGCAAGAGGTCTTCCATTTGCTGTTGATGCCCACTGTGAATCCATATGAAATATTTTTTTTAATTTTCACACTTACGCACTTATAACGGAGAGATTTTCTACTGACATACAAATTTGGAGACATTTTTTTTATAGTAAAAGATTCACATGTTTATATTAAAGACTGTGTATTTTAAAATGTTCAACCCTACCATCTGACACTCACCTAAAACCATCAAAAATTGTATACTTCAGGTTCTTTCCTATGGCCATTATGTTAGTAAGAGCACTTTTGAATAAATGTCACACAAACAACTGTTAGATTTTAATTTAGTTTATATTAAATACTTTTGTAAGTTTAATTTAGCCACGATAATACAAAAGTTAAATAATGAGGTAAGAAAGAAAAGTGTAGTGAGTTTTTGTGTATGCCATACACAATAATTCCTAAAAAATTGTTTTTATATACCGTAATATTTACCACCGTAGGCAAAAAAGATTTGTTTCCATTTCACACTTTGGTACACAAAACAATGCAATGCTACATTAGTACTCAATGAAATTTCGTCTTAGGAGTGCACCGGTTGAACTTATCGCTATAAACGATATCTTCCAGGCATCCAAATTTATTGATTTTCGTTTAAAATGAGTTAATAACAGTACTTTTGATGTACACTGCCAAGTAGGGAGACTCTAGTACTTTATCTTTTATTTTTAAGTTCTATTTGTTTGATGTAAAACAAGGCACGGATTTTGATGCGTTTTTTAATAGTTATAATAATAATTTTTATATAAAACGTTTAGTTTTTCTGTAGTGTATTTAGTATCAGCATCGCACCCGCGGGTAGCCGGGGCGGGTCGGTAGATAAAATTAAGGTCCAATAAACAATTAAAACTTTGATTTCCAGAATTTGTTTGAAGAAATTGTACTGCAGAGATGTCTCCTCGAAATGACTGAATGTGCGTATTTCTTTAATCCTGTTGAAAGCGTTTAACTTTTAAAATAAGTTTGTGCGATACTTGCGATAGTTAATAGGTGGTATAGCATGATCTGCTTCACATACATAAACACGTCATATTTGAAGCCTACAGACAATCGAAACTTGATTTTATTGACAACAACTTGACAAGTACTTATACAATGGTTATGCCATTATATATTTTAAAAAAATCTGGCGAAACAAAGATGGTCTACCTGATGGGGATGTGTGGAAGGGGTGCGATGGTTGGCGTGATGTGGCAACGCATGATGGGCCGTGGGCGGCGCAGCAGGAGTAGACGCTCTCGACGTGTCGCTTGGCTCGGGCGAGGTTGATTCTGAGCGTGATGAGCCGGAAGCAGAGGGCCGTCGCCTACGGTCCGTTACTCCACCTGGAGTACTCGGCGTACTCTCACCACCTGTCCCTGCGCCTGCCACGTACCACCGATGTAGAGGTGTCGTTCTGAAGTTGAAAATAGTCTATTTACGTAATTGTCCATAAGAAATATACCATATTAACTGCATGCAAAAAAAATGGTTCGTATTTTACAAAGAAATTTACTAATGCTTTTCAGATATGCTTATCATGAAAAGGCAGAGCGGTGCTTTTAGCTCTCAGCCACTATTAGTAATATAACTATATTCTTAACTCACTGGCTAATTGCATTACAGAAATATTTACCAACTTGTATATCCTTAAAGCTTAACGACGTATAGCATTATAACCCAAACACACATATACAGCATAAAATGCACAAATAAAGCTACCTCATTTAATAAATTACACACAAAGATAAACAAATGTTAGCACATATCATGCAACACAGAGGAACTGATTACATACAAGTACTATGACTTTTCGTCATGTTGCTTTACACCACACAATATAATAGTAAATTATGGCTATATATATTAGTTAACTTAATTTGGATATATTTTAACACCATCGTGTCGCTTCGGATGCTTTGAAGGAACTACAGAAATACTTAAGTTTGTAATCCAGAATGAATATTGGTTTGTCAACTACAGACTGACGTTATGATTATTAAATAATATCTTATAAAAATATATCCTACTCTTCCTAATAGATGATTAATGTAGTATATTTTGTCTATGGCACTTTTTATCCCTGGTGAATATAAACAAATAGTAATAATAAATAAATGACCAATCTTGTCTAGTCTTTTTACAACTTACCTCACCAATACGCTGAACCATTTATTTCTGTCACCGTTTATTTATGTAACGATTCATTAATTTATTTTTTACAACTATAATATACCAAGCTAACCTAGCAGATGTTTTTTTGTTATATGAAGTGTGTCAACCAAATATGATTACCATAAAAACATCTTTAAAAAAAGACATACTGTTGCGGACAAAATATGACTTGAACCTGCGTACGCAACGGAAACCCTCAAAGATGTATCTATTTTTCCGTTAGTTTTTTCAAAATTTCTCGCTATTTCTTATCTCCTATTGTGTCGCGACCTAATCTTTAGGCTAAAGTCTTTCTCGATAAATGATCTATCCAACACAAAAATAAATTTTACAAAAGTAAGTTCCTACGATTAGCGCGTTAAAACAAACTAACTTCTCCAGATTTATAATATATTTTCATAAAATTTACCTAATTCATATTACATATTTAAAATATGTATAATATACAAAATCGCAACAACTTTAAAAATCGAGTAGTTATTATTATATTACATTACACATTCAAAAGAAATTGTTCGGTTTATATTGATATTATGCTTGTTTTTATCTACATGGCGCATCAAATGATTGTTCCAAATGCAATCGTACATTTAAAAATTATCATCTTATACACGACAACAATGCAATAGAGTTATTATTTTTTATAAGACTCAATCTGTTTTTTATGCTCTGGCGACTTTCAACAATCTGGAGTAGTAGTAGGGTGATAGATACTTCACTGGGTCATATAGGACTTATAGTGCATCATGCAAACCTTTCGGTATTGGAAGGTGGCGTTGCATAAGGTGCATTGTTTCGCTGGTGGTACCTGCCGTACGTGGCGGGCGTGTTGCCTCGGCGACAGAACTCCGAGGTTGCACTATCGTTCGTCCCCCGCCATGCAGCTGGGGCCGCTGCCGTGGCCGCCATTGCGCATGTACTGTTTGCGGTTTCCTCAGCTCTGTAGACAAAAATACCTTAATGTCAACTATTACGTAGCTACAAATAGTCCCGTACGATAATGTATAAAGTATAGGCAATAATAAATAGCTTAGCTTAGTAGTACAGATGTACTGTATAGTCGACAAAGCCGACTCTGTTTTAAATCTAGTATACAAGCAGCTAGTAGTCAAATAAATTATTGTCAGAATGTATTGTATTGACAACTGTCCATCAGTTATTAATTTGTTTAATTCTGTTGTGTACTTTGCGAGACCAGTGGGGATAATTTTACGGTAATCATGTTACTGTAGACTATACCTACCTTTTCTTTATTATTATTCTTGATTAGCGTATAATAAAACATGTTTTACTATTTTACATTGGAAACCTAACCTAAATTGTGCCTTAAAATTGGTGTGTTTGTGTAACGGACAAACACACCAACATACATCTTTGTAGTACATTAGTACTAGTAAGTATAGATGTACTAATTTTAACCGTGAAGAATTCTAATGTACTAGCTGATTTGGTAAACGTTCTTTGGATGAAGTATTTCGACAAAGTTTGATTACCATAAAACAGTTCTTGTGAGTATCTTAAACATTTTTACATTTTACATTACCTTTATAACTAGTTTTTCGCTATATTCAACAGTTTTCGCATTGCACGCAACGGAATCCCAAAGATGAACAATATTCCCCTTTATCATTGTCTTTCGGGCTGTTCGGCCGATGTGAGCGAGAAGAGGTTCTCGACGTTTCGCTATCACGTCATCATAATTCTTCGAGCAATCGAGGAGTTAACATCTGATGATGCCGTCCACACGTGATGGCGAAAAACGTCGAGAACCTCTTCTCGCTCACGTCGGCCGAGTTCAGCCCGAAAGACAATGATATGCCGAACGATGGCCGTGAAAGCGTTACGCAATTTAATATTCCCCTATTTTCCACTGTTTCTTCGTTGGTCGCGCTTGATGCTTTATTTTTAGCCTAAAACCTTTCGGAACCAACGAAAAAAAATATTTTTATATTCGAACTAATATTTAGAGATTAGCGCAGTCAAACAAACAAGCTCTTCAGTTTTATAACATTTGTTGAGATTAGATACTTCTAATTGTTTCATTAATTGCGATATACTGGAATACTGGTACAAAAGGATTGCAAATCATTGTAACACACGCTGCCGAAACGCTCAGAGACGCCAATCAATTCTAGCATCTAATCCGACTGAACTGAATCCGATGAAAAAATCTAATCCAAGTAGTTTTTCTGACTTCAGCATTTCGGTCTATTTCTATCTTTCCTTTCTTTTCTAAAGTCTTTGAGCGTATTATCTACCTGAAGCTAAGTGTGTATTTAATCACTGAAAGCATTACCACTGCTTTTTAATTAAGGATGATTAATGAAAGAAGATAGGAAACAATTTTCTGTTCTTTCTTTGTTGGATTTTAGCAATGCCTTTAACCCTGCGAACTTTGAACTTCTTTTAGGCGTACTTCGATCGTGTAAGATTTATTTTGCCTATAATTGACTGGTTTTCCAGCTATCCCTATGGACGACGCCAACGTATTTCGACCAATGAACCGTTTCACAGTGGTGTGAAATATTTGCCGGTGTTCCACAGGGGGGCTTACTATGTATATCCTGGTCTATTTTTTTTAAAGAAATAACTTACTTCTAGGTTTTCTATTAACTATCATTCCTATGCGGACCACCTTCAAATTGATGCACAATCCTCCTTTAACGCTTGTGATCATGCTCTACTTTCTCATATTGACGCCTTTCTTTTAGGAGTGTACAATTCCGTAATGAACCTAATGACTTTTTTGGATCAAACACTATATCGTGGGTTAAATTATGTTAAAGAGGCCAGTCGCAAATTTTATGCGACTTATTGTGTTTTGAGGGGAATAAGTAATTTTCTTTCTATTTGTACCAACACTTTCCTCGCTCAATCTCTTCTAGACTGCGCTGACCCGTTTCGCTTCTGATATCGGTGAACATCTACTTAAAAAGCTTGATCGTTTATAATTTTTTTCCATTCGGTTTCTTTCTTTTTTGGTTTTTGTAAATATGATCATATCTCTGCTTACTGTAGGCTTAAACGTGATTGACATATTCTACACCTTCTGTACTCTGTCTCTTTTAACCCTAATGCTCCTATATACCTCAAACGATCATTTAAATTTATAGGCCCGTACAACCAAGGACTCCGGTCATCAGAGAGGTATTCTTGACATTTCCAGCCATTCAAAAAACTTTGCTGGCAACTTAATTAAATTTTAATTATTAAAAAGTCTAATTATTATGTATCTTTCTACGCAGGGTGCCTGGAAGAGACCACTTATAGGGATAAGGCCGCCCGGTGCACTTTATAGTTGTACAATTTTATTGTGTATCTGTATCTTGTGTACACTAAAGTGTCCAATCAATAAATACTAAGTTATTGTAATAACATCTTTTAAAGAAACGACAACCTTCTTCACAGCATATAGGACTTGTACGCACTAGACGGTTTACCGCGAAGAATATCAAAAGACTTTATTGTATTATATGTAACTAATTAATACATTATAAGACCAGACTTACGCCATAAGTTTTAGCTGAGCATTGAAAATTTTATTTCTAAAAATTTCATAATTTTGATCAAATTTAAAGCGATTTCCTTTTCATTTCAAAAAAATAATTCAAATGTCGTTAAAGTTCACTACACTAATTCCATTTCATTAAAGAGAAAAACGCGTAAACTTTCAGAAAAAAATTTAAAGACAAGTACTACTCTACTTGATATTTATTATCAGAATCGGTTTAATTTAAGGTGTATTTCATTTCCTGAAATAATTCTAACTAAATATTTATTGGCGATAAAACCAAAATCAGACAACCCTTTTATTTTTGAAGATCGTCAATTTCAAATAGACTGTTCTCTCTTTCGCTGTGTGCCGACAAGCATATATTGTTGTAATTACATTCCTGGGTTCATATCGTTATTGGTGGTTAAAAAAATACTGCACTTTTTTGCACTTTTTTGCCCCTTTTATAATAAAGTATCTAAACGTGTGCTGAATTTCAAAATTTTAACTTTTACGCTTTGCTGTTATTGTTACATCACTAGACATTAAATATGGTTTTGGTTGTTTTTACCAATTAAACTTTAATATTTAAAATTTATATATATTTTTAAATTTCTTAGAGATAAAATAATAACAAAACTTAACATAGATAACACGTAAATTGTTAAGATCACTTACGAATTTTTTTATGACAATGGTCGATGGTAAAATTAGGTGTTTACTATTATCGGGAGCCAGACCATCCAAAATAAACGATTTAAAGTGAGAATCGGGAAATTCAGACGTCAGACACGAATCAATTTGGCTTGTCGACGTTGTACCCGGGGATATATTGAGTTGATATTACATGTATCTTATAATTTAGATTTTGTAGAATGCTTACATATTGATAAACCTCAAAAACCTCCGGTCGTGCTAGAAACGCCACCAAATTTAGATAATACGCGAAAAATATTGAAATAAAGTACTTAGAAAAATATATTCCTCTGTAAAACGGAAAAAGCATAATAAAACATTACACTATTTGGCCTTATTTAAGTATATAAGGATGCTCAAATATCTCGAAATAAAGATTACTCTAAAATAAGGTTAAGCCAATCTATTAAATGTTCACCCCGTCAGCGACAAACGAGTATGTGTTTCATGGTCTACTTTGCACATCTGACCCGTGAAAATCTAGCCTAATAAGAGCTACCAAATCAGTTCCTAAAGAACTATGGGAACAGACAAAAAAACTTGGAATTGTAAATAAAAACGAACCTATTTAATAAGCAGATTTAAATTTTATTTACAATTCTTATAAAGTATATATATGGAGTCATATTTACTTGACGACACTTACATGAAATAATGACACAGGACAGTGAAAAATGTGGTAGAAACGGAGAAAATTATTCATCTTTGAGGGGTTCCGCTGCGTGTGCCTCGAAAACGGTTCAAAATACCGAAAAATTATGTATCAAAGATTGATTCCTCTTAAAATGATTTATAAAAATGTACACGACGATATATGTCTTTTTTTTAGATTAACTTGCAAGAACGACGGGACGCGGGCGACGAAGTGAATAACAGTTGTTATTTATAAAGACGACAAAGGTTTGTAAAAACAAAAATATGTACTTAGATAGATTAGATAGAGAAACATAAGTATCCACAGTTCATAAAACATATTTAAGGTGGTTAAAAATTAAACACAATGCGTGTTAAGTTGCAATATGCCTCCCTCTGGTCACTGGTTTAGTTTGATTTAATATTTATTTACGATCTAATGCTTTGATTATTATAGATCTATCCTATTCAAGCCGATAAGTTCTGTATTGTTCGTGTTCGTGTAACACATTCGGAAAGCTGACTAGCATAAACAAATTATAGCTATAAACGGAGAGTTTACGAACAATTGTAGATAAATTATAAATACATATTGAAAAGCCAAACATGCATTAAGTTTTTAATATATATATATGATAAGAAGACTTGAAGGAGTTTATTTTTGTAATACCTTATCGTAAACTGTATAGAGATATTATATTAGGTATCATTTGAGTCCAAGATTTATACTACTTACGTAAATATTTTATACTACTATAGCTAGTTATGAAAAAAAGTTTTTTTTATCAACATCAGTCAAGTTTGATTAGAATTTGCACATATAGCTGCGCTCCGAGGTACAATTCTCGTTCATCAATAATGATAGATTATATGAATACAATGTGTTAATTAGGATAATCATGACTTATGAAAGATTAGTAGTGTCGGAATTGCCACTTATTGAAATTTAATATATTTTGGTTAAGACATAGGGGATGGAAGACTTGTTTGTTCTTTTAAATAAAACAAACAAATACTGTGTCTATAGTTTACGCGAGTAGTACATTTAAATAAAACACTTTAACGGTTTAAAACGCGATATATTAGTTAAACTTATTTGAAAATGATTTTTAACTTCG